AAATACTTCAAAGAATAAACAACTCATCCTACTGAAAAGTTTTTGTACATCTGTTTCATGTTTTATATAAATCTTAGGTGTCTCACAAAATGATCTTTGGTTATCTGCTTAAAATGCAATAAAAGCAAGAATGAGAAAGACCTGGGTAGAAGAAATAACCCTGTGTGACAGATAGCTCTCCTCCATACATGTGCTTCAGGAGCAGACAAAGGTAGGGAGCCTTGTCTTCTCAGCTCTGCCACTCCCTACCCCAGAGGTTGCGCCAAGACTTAGCTTGACAGTTTATTTTCCCTTGGTCTCGGTTCTGTAGAAACCTGGGACTTTCTCTTCTACAAACATTCCACTTCTATGATCAACTGGGCCTTCTATCCCCAGAGCCCATTCCCTGGTCTTGTGTCTTCAGCTTCCATCGATACTTTTAGGCCCTTTCACTGGGTGTACCATACGAATACCATCATTTCAAGAAGTGTGGCCTCCCAGAATAGTAAGGACTACACAGCCCTGGGGCTCCTGACCTTAAAATGATCCTGTTTTGTGGGCTTGAAGTACAAACAGATTCCAGATTGCAAATTGTTCCTGAGAGCAAAGATAGATGACAAATTGAATTAATCCCATTTGGAAAACTAAAAGTATTTCTTGTTTATGGGCTTCTTCTAAGTAGACTATGCCATGGCTTTTATTCTTAGCACTTGCTTAATTTCATCAATAATTGCTGGCTAAAGTTGCCAAAACAAAGTACCTCAAGGCGGATCAATGAAATGATGGAAAATTTATTGTCTCTCAGTTCTGGGGGCTGAAGTCCAGCATCAAGGTATAGGCAGTCTTCCTTTCTTTGGAACCCCGAGACAGCGTCTCTCCCAGGCCCCTCACCTGGCTTCTGGTGGTTGTTAGCAATCTCTGACATTCCTTAGCTTGTCTCAGTATCACCTTGATTTCTGCCTTCACCTTCTCATGGTGTTTTTCTGTGTATTTGTCTCCCAAAGCTCCCTTGTAAGAATACCAGTCATATGAGGTGAGGGGCCCAGCCCATCTCCGTATGACCTTAGCCTGTCTAATGATATCTGCAGTTGTCAAATAAATTTGCACTCTTAAGGTATGAAGGGGTTAGGAATTTAACTTGAGTTTCATGTTATCCAACTCAATATCATTACCATCAATTGACACTTACTTAGCTAACTGCAATTCCTATTTCTAGTCCTATATCCCTAGTCCTGGTCCTGTCTGGAAAATGGTGGTGGAAGCTTATTTTGTAAGACATGTAGGACCATAGACAGGCATAAATATAATAAATAAGAATAACAAAGATGAGAAAATCTTTAAAACTAATGGGAATAAAGGGATGCGTCTTCCCCAAATGTACGGATTTCGAGTCTATTACCTTAGTTTTAGTCAGAGAAACACCAATTTTCTGTATGACATGTGGGAATTGGTGTCAGAGTTCTCCAGAAAAATAGAGACATTAGGATGTAAATATTGAAAGAAAGATATTTAGTTCAGTATTTGACTGACATGGTAATGGAGGCTGGTAAGTTCAAAATCTGCAGGGTATGTTCACAGCCTGCAGACCCAGGAGAGCCAAAGTCTGCGTGTCCAAAGGCTGTCTGCCATGGTACAGGAAATAATGTAGCAGATGAGGTTGGAAGGCTGCCTGCTGAAGAATTCTACCTTGAGCAAAGAGATCAGTCTTTTCTTCCATTCAGGCTTTCCATGATTGGGTGAGACCCACCCCCATGGTGGCGAGTAATCTGTTTTCTCATTCTACCCACGTAGCTATTAATCCCATTCAAAAGCACCCTCAAGAAACACCCAGTGTAATATTTGGCCAAATATCTGGGCACTATGGTCCAGCCAGTTTGGCATATAAAATTACCCATCACATAACATTTTTATAAAAATTTCTTTGGAAAATAAAATGGAGCTGCTGCTGGTTGAAATATAAAGAAAGTTATAATTCCTAATTTACACAGTCCTTAACTGGAAGCCAAGGTTAATGACCTATTTTCTTTCAGGACTACGATATACTAAGAACTATGGGTTCAATGGCATAAGACTTCCCTGAAGAATTATCCTTGATCCTGCGTAGCATCTTTGTAAAATTTCACATATTTTGAGACAAAAAATAGGTTCTCTGGATGAGTAAATTGGTTAAAACTATAGAACTTTTCATCTGGTTTATATTGTCAAATTCTTTTTTTTTTTGCTTTAAAGAGAAAAGCAAACAACAACAAAGATAAAAACAGAACAAAACAAAAACAATAAAAACAATGCAGAATTTCAAAACAAGATGATAGGAAATTAACAATGGTTGTTATATTACATAGTGTTATCTTCAGTGAAGTTGCTCAGATTACCAGATGTAAGAATGCAAATTGATCAAACAATTAAAGTGAATAAAAAATAATCAAAAAACTAGAAATGATACAGAGTTTCACTAATCAAGGTGGTAGGAATTCAATAATTTTAATAACAATGGTTATTATATTGCATATTGTTGTCTTCAAATTAGTTGTTCATATTATCAGATACAAGCCTGCAAAATTGGTCAAAAAAGATTTAAACATTAACTGTTCCTTTTAATAAACCATTAGACATCAACTGTTCAATTATCCCAGCTATCCTTGTGTATACATATATTTTTTTTTCCCTTCTTTCTTTCTTTCTTTCTTTTCTCCTTTCCATTGTCCCAGTTGTTCATTCCCTTTGAGCAATTTCTTTCCCTTTCACAATATTTATTGCACCTTTTGGGTTGTATTTACTCTTTCAGGTTCTTACACTAGGGAGTATATTGTCAAATTATTACCAATTTATGTACCTTATGTTTTAGAAAATAAGAAAGGAATTTACTTCATTTATCAAGCTTTGAAATACTAGCTACGCAATAATGTATAATCAGGCCAGGTGTGGTGGCACATGCCCATAATCCCAGCACTTGGGAGGCTGAGGTAGGAGATCATTGTGAGTTCAAGGCCAGCCTGGGCGACATAAGTGAGTTCAAGGCCAGCCTGAACTGCATAGTGAGACCCTAACTGAAAAAAGATCGATAATAATAATAATAAATAATGTATAATCGGGGCAACTTATACCAGACTTGTTTTGTAGAGGGGAAAAAGCGGATTAAGGATTAGAAATTCTGTATTGAAATCTCGGTTCTTCCCTTTATTACCTATATGATGTGGAGCCTGACCCACTGGGGCTGTGATGTCATCTTCTGTTTGTTGAGGGTGGTGTCCGCTTTCTGTGTGGAGGGCACTGTGGACGTTCCCCGTTCTTCAGTGACAAATAATGCCTGCAAACTCCTCAGCTCTGGAAATTCTGTCTTCTAAGTAGCCTAGTTCTCCATCTCTCCCTTCCTTACTGTCTTCCCGCCCTGAGCAGGTCCTCACTGCTTGTTGCCTGTGACCTTATAATGACCTTCTGCTCTCTCCCTTTGGTGGTATTTCCTGTCCAAGGCATCTTCCCTTTTCCTGCCTCACTCTTTTCACAAGTGTGAATCCAGTCATGGTTCCTCCCCTATAACTTTCACGATAATGTTGCCTTTGTTCTAATAATTTAGCTAACATTTACTGAGTGTTCACTGCATGTTATGGTTAGTACCATGTGTGGATCACTATGATGAATCTCACAAACAGGTTTCTGAGGTGCGGTACAATATTCCCATTTACAAATGGGGGATTTCACTGAGGCTTAGAGAGATTAAGAAACTAGCCTGAGAGCATGAGGTCAGGTAGTGTACACACTGATTCAGGCATTCTTACTTCCTGTGTTGCCTCCCTTGATGGCCCTTAGACCCTTCGACCAACAGCTGCTGCTCCCTTCCAAGCACCGGCTCAACTTCTCATGTACATTTCCTTCCTAACAGAAACAGAGCTTTTAAACCTCGGCTATCTAGAGATTTAAAACGGCTGCACTCAGTGCATCTAGTGTCTGAATCTTTTGGTTTTTTGAAACAAGGTCTTGCTGCGAAGTTCAGGCTGGCCTTGAGCTCACTGTATAGCCCAGGCTGGCCTTGAACTCACAGTGATCCTCCTGACTCAGCCTCCTAAGTGCTAGGATTACAGGTGTGCGCCCCCACACCCAGTACGTACATCTTTGAGGCTATCAAAAGTATTGGTTTTAACAAATGAAAGAATGTGTGAAGCAGTTTGTTAGCTATAACCTTCCATTCTGATGTCAATATTTCATATTATGTTATTTAATGTTTCATATTAAGATTTAATACTATTTATTATTATTATTATTATTAAACCACAAACACCTTGAAATTGTTTAGTTGACTAACAGAGCACTATGAACACTTGGCACCGTCACCATTTTGGACCAGATAATTCTTTGCTGTCAGGAGCTGTCCTGTGAATTGCAGAATGTTCCACAACTGAACATCTGTGCAGAGATAGCACATACCAAGCTGTACAGTGATGAATGTCTTTGGCCATTGCCAGGTAGCCCCTGAGGAACAAACTGATTGAAGGCCATTGGCCTAATTGTTCACTTTCTTGAACTTCTGGGTGTGTCATTTTGGTTTTCCATTACTCAGGTTGTTTCAACCTTAAAAACAGAGTTTGAAACTAATTTGTTGTAGTCAGTAATGTATTGGAAAGTAATCATACTGTACAGCTAAGTACAGTGTGGTGTCTGGGGTTGCTTTCTGAAGAAGAAGAAGGACAACAGTAGAAAATTGGGATGTGAATAAAGCCTGTAGCTTAGTTAGTAGCACTGTACCAATGTTGGTTTCTTCGTGTTAATACATGTACCAGGCTTGTATAAGATGTAAACATTGGGGGTGGCTGATGAAGGCTGTATGGAAACTATATTTTCTTTGCAACTCTACTAAACCTAAAATTAAATTTTTTGTTTTTAACATATTCACTTACTAAGAAAGAATAAAAAGATACAGTTTTCAGACACAAGTAGAAATAGAGACCTATATGTGCTCCTTCTGAACTCTGAAGAAAAGTGAATAATGAAGTCAGTGACCTTGTTGTCTTTGACTCACCTTCCAGGCTGTCAATTCACATGGATGACGAACTGCGGCACATTGCACAGAATTCTCTCCAGGGTTTGCTCGTTGACTTCTCGGACTGGAGAGAAGACGTTCTCTTTGGTTTTACCAACTTCCTGCTGCGGGAAGTAAATGATATGCACCACACACTGCTGGATTCATCCCTGAAGTTGCTGCTGCAGCTGCTCACCCAGTGGAAGCTGGTCATTCAGACTCAAGGCAGAGTCTATGAGCAAGGGAACAAAATTAGAAATTCAGAGGTGATTTTCCCAGTGTCCACATCAGTTTCTGTTCTTTGCTGCACTGTACACATGAATTGAGTGGCAGCCCGGGGAATCTTTGTGGTTCTTCCAGCCACCTATGAACTTCCTTTAGCACTGACCCTAATTGCTCCACCAACTTACACTGTGACTGAGAAACTCAGGTCAGACTTGTTAGCACCATTTAGAGAGGTGGAACCTTTGGGTTTTTTTCCTGCAGAGAATTATGATCACAAATCTATTTGTAAGAGCAAATGGCTATAGGACAGGACGTTAGAGATAAATATGCATAGAAGGTCATTTAGGGAGGAGGAACCTTTGGGGTTTTTTCCTGCAGAGAATTATGATCACAAATCTATTTGTAAGAGCAAATAGCTGTAGGACAGGAAGTTAGAGATAAATATGGATATGAATATACAAAAGTTAGCCATCCAGCAGATTTTTTTTTTCTAGACAACAACATATTAGTTATCTACTGTCTACCAAGAATGTAATGTAGTCTGTGGTTTCTTATTCCCTTCATGCCTCAGTCCTAAATGGTAAAAATGAATGATAAGACTTTAGAGAGTGCATGTAGGAGGAGTTTTGTGGGAGAAGTAGGGTTCTCATTTCCTAGTGATGAGCTGGTGTTGGCAGTGAACAGACTGGACACAGGTCAGGCTGAAGAGGAGCGTCTCTGAAGGTCTGAGGACTGTGGCGATTCAGGAAGACAGCAGCATCCAAAGAACAGGGAGGTTCCCAGATGGATGACCTCAGAGACGATGTTCAAGTCCCTTCTTCCTTGTGTGCCGAAAGACAATAGGTAGAAAACTGGGAGGTGGTACATACGTTTAGAATATAAGAATCAGGTTGGAATCTGCCCTATCACCTGGATTGTGTTTGCTTTAGCTATAGGTTCACTTGGTTCAGCTTGGGAACTGTCAGAACCCATCGTGTAAATATGCAAAACCTAGATTAGAATCTAACGTACAAACAAGAAAGTCCAAATAGAAAGTAAAATGTTTGAAAAAATGATTTAGGAAATCTTAGTCTATCGAGAATTTAAGTGAAAATGAATTAGGTCAGTTTGATTATATGTATAGCATAACCCCAAAGGGTATGAAAGGAAACAGTTTTGTTTTTATTAGAATTAACAGCCTTTGAAAAGCTCTCATCAGAGATAAGAGATAGTTGATATTTCCAATGCAGCCATTGATGTGTAAAGCAAAAAGGGATAGTTCATAAATGATAGCAAATCTATAAGCATGTCTGATTCTCAGCCATTGTAACATATTTTAAGATCATAAAGTCAGATGTGCATCATTTTGCTGAATATGGAATGTTCTTTTTGCACAACAGCTCATCCCAAATGGCTCCAGCCACAGAGCTCAGTCAGAGCGAGGCCCTCACTGCAGCGTCCTCCATGCTGTAGAAGGGTTTGCACTGGTTTTACTCTGCAGCTTCCAGGTGGCCACACGCAAACTGTCCGTGTTAATACTCAAGGAAATTCGAGCTCTCTTTGTTGCCCTGGGTCAGCCCGAGGTATGGATCATTTTTCCATATTTTCCATTTCTTTGAACTGTTTTGAGATGTACACAAAAACTGTACATAATTCGTTGCAGTTTCGCGTGCCTCATGTTGTGTGTGACAATGCATACTTTTTAATGCATTATTGGGTTTTAATTATATAAGCATTCTTAATCTACAGAGGTAAGCAGTACACTGAGTACAGCTGAAAAGATTTTTCTTGCTTCACTAAGGAATGTTTCTTTGCTAAAAATTAAACAATTTTAAGATTAATTTAGATTATGGGTCATTTCCATGTACATCTAATGAAGAAAATACTACACTTATATTAGAGATACTACATTAATATTATATTAATACTACATTAATATTATATTTATATTAGACAAAATGATGCATATCATTTAAAACAATCAAGGTGCAGAGACAAATAGCCTGGCTAACTGGAAGTTGTTGAATATCAATGATGGTAGAGAGATAACACCACAAGAATTTATCTCCTTTTGAAATAGGGGAAGGAAACCACCCATTAAACATGATCAACCCCAGCTACCTTCTTGCACTTGGTCAAGTGCTGGGATGTTGTGGCATGTGCCCAAGCTCTATGCATAGATGATGAAAGAAGGACTAGCTTTTTGTGCTACCCTACTTCTTTTTAAAATGCTACTTTCCATCTTCTTGTTTTAAATTACTAATCTTGGTCTCATGGTCCCCAGTATGGTCTCTGCTTTTTTGAAATATTTTCAAGCTCATCACAGTCCTTTCTGTTCACATTTCTTCAGTAAACTTTGTGGGCTATGTCAGGACCATCTCTCTGCTATCTAGTAAATGGATCTCTAAGATATACCATACTCCAATGAACTATCATTAAGTTTCTAGTGGTAGTAATAGTTGATAATATTTACCATGCAGATGGCAGGCACTGCTCCATATCCATATTTTACCACGTTGTCCATTTAACCCTCATAATGACCTAAGAATTAGCTTTGTTCTCATCCCAATATGGATACTGAGACTGAGGTTTAGAAAGGCTAAGTGCCTTAGCCCAAACAACCACTAGGATCTGACATAACCAGATATGTGTGTCTCTAAATTCCCACATTCTTACTTTCTACTCCGTCAGACCAGTGATTGCAAACCTTCTAGAGCTTTCCATTATAACAAACAGCTGGTTGCACCACACAGCCATAGGTTCACCACTACTAAATCCAACTGTATCACTGATGTTCTCATGTGCTGCTATCTTTGACCAGCCACAAGTTTTTTAAACAATACTTATGAATACATACATTTCAGGGCTTTTCTATGGGGCTTCTAAAAAATTGTTCTATATTTCCAAGTCCTTCTATAATAAGCAATGACAAATGTGAACATATCCATATAGGTGTGAGTATATATATGTATATTTGTTACTCATGTAGAACTTTCAATAAAATATTCTCCCTTTTTAATTTGCTCCGTTTTCCCAAGTAGCTGTGTTGTACACAGATGCTGCAAAAAATGTATGTGGTCAGTCTCTGGTGTAATTTCTCTGAGACTAAAATTCAATTGATATTAATCAGTTATTTTCACAGGCCGATGGCTTAAAATAAGAACCATTTTAGTGGTCTGACAAAGCATGCTCTTACACAGTTTTAATTTTTATGTTAACAACATGGATACTTCAGTGACTAATGCATAGTACGAGAATTTAGATTCTCATTTATATGTATGACTCTTTGAAATTCACAGATTTATCTTTTCAGAAAAACAAAAGGTAGAGCCCTAATTATCTCCCACTGAAACTTGAAAGCCTAAGCCCAGAACCACAGAGACCCTTATCCAATGCTTTTCACCTTCTTGGCACTCACTTCTTTATGAAACCCCTTATCACTGCCTCACAAGCTGTTTGGCTTGATGTACTCATGGAAGGCAGTATTGGGGTGAGTTAGGGAAGGGTCCTCTTCCGCTGAGAGTAATCACCTCCCCTTTGCACAGGACGATGACAGGCCAATGATCGACGTCATGGATCAGCTCAGTTCTTCCATTCTCGAAAGTTTTATTCACGTAGCAGTTTCGGATTCAGTAAGTACACATTTGATTCTGTTTGCTAACAGTTCTTAAAAATAAGCTCTGGACCTATCTGAAAAAGAGAGTCAGGAATTGTGTAGACTAATTTGGGTGTTCATATTAGATTAATAAAGTGATACAAAGGTACTTAGGAAAACAAGTCTGGCTTTTCACATGATAGTTTAACAGACATGCAGATACATTTTAGCCAGGATGTAAGCCTTAGAAATATAAATAAATTTTAAATCTATAATTTCAAGAGGTGCAAAGGGTAAGGATTGTGGTATATGTCTATAACTCCAGCACTCTGACAGGTGGAGGCAGGAGAATCCCAAGTTCAAGCCCAATCTAGGCAACTTAGTGACTTAGCAAGAACCTGTCTTTAAAAAAAAAAGAAAGGGTTGGGGATTTATCTCAGTGTGAAGGCCCCAGATTCAGTCACCAGTATCACCAAAGAAAAAAGTGGTCAGGGTCCTTAAAATTAATTTGTCTTTAATCTTTATATTTAATACTTAGCATGTCTCAATATTGTGTTTAACTCTTAACTTTGTATTAAATTCTTAATATGGAAACTTCGGTTTATGTGGAGCTTTGCAGTCTCCACAGTACTTTCACATTTATTATCTCATTTGACCCTCACAATTATTGAAACCCTAAGACATTTAGGATCAGGGTTGCTAGGTATGTAGTAGTAGTGGTAGAGTACATATGAGGCCTTGGGTTCAGTCCCCAGCTCCAGGAAAAGTAAAAGCAAAAAAGAAACATTAAAGGGAGAAAGGCCCAGTTACACAGAAGGAGAGAGATAGAACCCAGACTTGTCCATTTGGACTTTGAATCTTGCAGAGCTTTATCTGCTACACAAATACAGTCTTCCTTTTAAAAAGCATATCAGTAGCTTTCAATTTCCTGTGCATGTTGAATGGAAACTGAAACTGATTTTAGTTATCTGACTTTTTACGTTAAAAGTACAGTAAGAGAACCTGGATCCATTTCAGCTAAATAACTGAAGAGAGGGCAGTCTGGGACAACTAGCAGGATCCACATGGCTGATGCCTGGTGCAGATACCTGCTGAATACTTAGACATGAATACAAAACTTGAAGACATTTGTGAGCCTTTTGTTGCCTTTTCTAGCTGAGATTGAATACAGACCCCTATTTTTAGTAACCCTATTCTTATTTCTAGGCATAATAATAATAAAAATCACTAAAACTATCAGCCAGGCACAGAGGACCTTAACAGTGATAGTGATGTAGTCATACTTCATTTAGAAGTTCAAATTGTTTTAATATGAAATTGAGTAGTCAGTTTTGTTTTACATGTTTATGTTTTATTCACTTGATTTTGTTCCATTTGCCAGAATCAAAATCTTTAGCTAGGGGAAGCCAGGTCAGCAATGTGACTCTTATCAAGATGGACAGATAGGGGAGCAGAGGAACGAGGAACCAGTGCCAGCTTCATGCTGGTATTTCTATGTCCACTATCTCACGGAATTCACTGCAAGATTAGGTGAGATCAGCGCTGTAATTCCCGGGTCATAAATGAAGCAGGCAGAGGCTCTGGGATATTCAGTGCTTTTTCCCCGGGTCACAGGATTTGGACAGAGCACGTGTTGAAATTTCATCCCTTGGACTCTGAAGTTCTAGCTCTGCCCCTTTCAGCCCATTAACCCCTGAAGCCTCTACATTAGCTCTTCCCCGGGAGAACACATAGACCAAAAGGTAAAATGGATCACTTTAGATGCCCAGAAAACACAAAGGCAATCTCTTCTCCTGGCACAATGGCTAGGTTATTTGAAGATTGGTAACCTCTAAACCCTGATATCTGCACTTAAAAAAAGAATGAAATGTAGGAACTTGTCCATCTATCTATACATACGTTTCACAGAGATTTTTAGAATGCATTGTTTTGACTTGATATCATAGGACAAGAATGAGTAGTTATCTCAAAAATCATCCACACAACGGAACTTGTGTTGAACCATCTCTCTTAAGTGGAAAGAAAGGTTTTATAGCCTAAATCAACACAAAGTCATAACCAAAAAACTTCATATTAACTGCAGAGATAAAAATACAGTTATATATCTCAGAGATGAGTAATTTTTAGGATTTTTAAATGGCAAGTCCAAATTTAAAATGGTTTACTTCAACTGATGTCATAACATTATTCCACAAATATGTAGTGAACCGCTTCTATGTACTGATATGCAACACCATGGAACATGAAAACTGTTAAACTGCCCCTGTTTGGACTTTGAAACTATGACCCAGATATTGAGCTTTGCGCTCAGCTGCTTATCAACAAGGCTAGCACAAGAATGACATGAGTACACACCTGCGTGTTTTGTGGTGCATGAAGGAAGGTGTTTCAGATCCAAAGTTGGCCCATTGCGGAGGAGATCAGGAAGGGGACTATGTAAGCAGCAGCACTCAGGCGGAGCCCTGGTGAGGATGGATCGTTTCAGTTCAGCTTTGATTCCCTGCCTACCTCTGTGCCTGCAGGCAACATTATCACTGACCCACAATGTGGATCTGCAGTGGCTGGTGGAATGGAATGCTGTCCTGGTCAATAGCCATTATGATGTGAAGAGCCCTTCCCACGTCTGGATATTTGCACAGTCGGTCAAAGACCCCTGGGTCCTCTGCCTCTTCAGCTTCCTTCGGCAGGAGAACCTGCCCAAGCACTGCCCCACAGCCCTCAGCTACGCCTGGCCTTATGCCTTCACTCGGCTCCAGTCTGTGATGCCATTGGTTGACCCCAAGTAAGGGATCCAGGTGTTTTGCTTGTTTTACCACTTGCCCTCTTAAATTTCCATTTTATACAAGAGACTGGAATATTATGATCACTTCTAATTTCTTAATTTCCTGCTACAGAATCCTTGCCATTGAGTAAAAATAGAAAGTTTTTATCTAGACTTTAGAGCAAGATTGTTTCCATAATAATCAATATGACTGTCTAGAATCTTAGACTCTGTGGTGAGAGGAGCCTTGAAGTTTTTCTAGTCAGTTTTGCATCCAGTAGAGATATTCCCGGAATAGCATCATGGACAGAAGCTGTCTAACCCTAGGTAGCACTTCCTATGATCTGTCTTTAAAAAGTGATATTTAAAATTGAGACCTTAGTTTCATTCTTATGTTTGGCTCCATTTTACTAGCAGCCCAATTAATGCCAAGAAAACCAGCACTGCGGGCAGCGGAGACAACTATGTTACTTTGTGGAGAAATTACCTTATTCTCTGTTTTGGAGTCGCAAAACCCAGTATTATGAGCCCAGGACACTTAAGAGCTTCCACTCCCGAAATAATGGCTACCACACCCGATGGTACAGTGAGCTACGATAACAAGGTGACATGACATGCTTCAGAAGAATTATTCTGTAAGGTTTTTTTTTAGCTTGTTTGTCTAGAGTTCCTAGTGCAAATTGCACTGTGCCTGCCATCTGGAGTATTATGGGATCAGATTTTCATCCTACACATTTCTAAGTTCCATTGAGTGTTGTGTGAATAATTTATTACTCCTCCCTGGCAAGTGGGGAACTGAAGATAAAGACAAATTTAGAAACTTCCTTGGGATCATAGAGTGATTTGTATTTGTTAATGCCCGAGGTTGGGTTTATGTCCTATGTAGCGCATTTCTCACTGTTCACCAACTCTTCACCTTTAAAACATGTCTTCATTAAATTATTTTTGCCAGAGGCAGTTTTGTAGACTTAAATGATTAAAAAGAAGACTGTCTACATTTTTCCTTTATACTTTATGTCCCAGGTGAGAAATACCTTCATTGTTCTGCATTGAATTTGTGCATTTTTTTTTTCCTGAAAAGATGGCAGTGCCTTGGGATGTGGCTCAGTACTTTGAAACTGTTATAATGGAATCATCATGTGATTAAAGAAAACCATGTTACCTCCTCTCACTCTTAATCCCCTTGTTTCAGGCCATAGGCACCGCATCAGTGGGAGTTCTGTTAAAGCAATTGGTGCCCTTGATGAGACTAGAGAGCATTGAGATCACAGAGTCCTTAGTTTTAGGATTTGGAAGAACAAATTCTCTTGTTTTCAGGTACAGTAACCTTAATTCTGCATTCATACATGCTGCTGCTGTTGCAGTTGCTTCTCTTGAGTTTGAGCCACTATTGGCACACACCTGAAGGGTTCAAGGGGGACGCAACTTCCTGTACGTCTTCTTTGGTTGATTGCATGTAATAAGCAATCCTTGCAACTCACTCACACTTCAGTTTTTGTCAGAGTTCAATTTGGTTTTGCCTCTCAGAATTTATTTCACTTGCAAGTTTTGTCTCAGATAACTGTAAATGAAAACACCCCCTGTCCATTCCCAGTTAGCCAGGCTGTTTGGAAGATATAACATTAAAATAATAAGAGTGTCTGTTTGTCGTCCATTTGTGCAACAGACTTTGAAAGGTGACACACGGGAAAGGGGTTGATGGGAGGGTACGAGAGTGGGAGAAAAAGAATCGAGTTATGTCATGTACAGGTGCAAATTCCCTATGAGTATGATCATTATATAGACCTAACGTGCACCAATAAACTTAATTAATTTTTTAAAAGGTGACACAAATAGAACTCTTTCAGGTGTGTTCAGCTCAGCTGGTTGGTCTTTTTTTTTTTTTTTTAAGAGCAGAATATATGTATTGAGGGAAAGAAAGCTTCTGTCTGAGAGAGGGACAGAAGTGGGCCCAAGTGGGGTGCCCAGGTGGTTGGTCTTTTTATAAGGCATTGCCTAGATCAAAACAGCAGACCTGGCTTCTTGCTTTCCTTTATTTTGCATCTGCAGTCAAATAACAGTCCTATCTGAGGCATCGCCAAAGCCTTTTGAGACAAGCATCATACAATATTCATTCAGGCTGCTTCTGATGGCTTTAGCTAAGCAACGAAAGCCCTAGTGGACAAAAAATAAAATTCATGTTAATTTTTTAACTTTATTAGTAAATGTGTACAGTACATAATGGTTACAGTCATTGTGAGGAGTTTGTACATAACACACCTTAATTCTTTATACTTATGTTCCATGCAGATAATAAAAGGAAGCGTTCCAAACACCTAAGAGAAACATTATTTGAAAAATAAATATTACTCAGATATTTCTGAAACAGCCAAAAAAAGATCAGTTGTATTTACTAGCAGGGTTAGATTTTTATCCTTTAACAGTTGTCTATTCTTATTACCTGAGAGCTATTCAAATAGCATTTTATTAGTTATTAGTTGAAAATAAGCATCATATAGACATACTACAAGAAAATAATAATTCTTGAAATTATCTATCATTCTTCTCAAACAATCTAGGGCTTTTTTATATATCTTGCCCTCTAGATTTCCCTAGAGGTAGGAAATACTCAGCTGGCCAGCCACATGAATCTAGAAGTTTAAATGTCTCTGGCCTCAGTTTTTTCATCTGTAGAAAAAAATTTAGCATCTGTATTTTAGAAATGAGGACTAGATCCAGACCTTCTGTCTTTCAGCACAGAATGCTATGGAATTGATATCTTCCTGTCCTTGGATTTTCCTGGAGGGTGATGTTTAGTAGCACAAAATATCCTACCAGACAGTACACAATTTTTTAGCATGATATATATTATAGACAAAATACCTAGATCCTAGTCTGGCAACAAGCCACATGTCACAATTTTATCTGTTTTGACAAAGCAATTCATAAGTTACTTTCTAGCGAGTCCAACTAATCAGGTTACAAGTATAAACCTGAGAAGTAGAGATGCTGGGGATGGGTGAAATGTACACATTCATATGTAATATGGAAATTTAAGATCCATATTAATGTGATCAAAACATCTACTACATGAGAACAAATGGTTTTGATGAAAACCTATTACAATTTTTCTTTTGCCATAATTTTTACTTATCATATAACTCAAGTAAATTTAGCTCTGAAATCCATAGACTTATTTTTAAACTCAACTATATATCAATCTCCCAAACACAAATCCCAAAGATAACTCCATAGGCACTGGACCTACCTCTTCCCCTAAACGTGTTCAGAGACTCAATTTTATTTTCATAGCTGGTAGTAATGTGCTTCCAATTTAGTAAGCACTCAGAAAATATTGTTTGTTCACGCAAGGTTTTTTTTAATAATGAGGATCTCCAGAATATTAAATCAAAATTAAGTGAACAAGTATGTACTCGGCCAAAATTAAATGCGTAGTCCTGGGATTAAGATCAGTAACTCAAATTATAGACTAATACTTGATTCCAGTTCATCACAGGATCGGGATATGGAGCAGACAAGGGAGAGATTCTTTCTTTAATCAAATTTTATTGATGCATTTTAGATATATATAATGATGACATTCACCACAGAAAATTTGCACCTGTACATGATATGTGGAGAGATTTTTATAGCAAAAGCAAAATGGAAAAAGCAAATAATTTAGGATAGCATGGATATACTTGATGACAACTTTGATGTCAATAACAATGAATTTCTAATGTGACCTTTTTCCTCCACAGAGAATTGGTTGAAGAACTTCATCCATTAATGAAAGAGGCACTAGAAAGAAGACCAGAGGTAAGATTTTAAATTGAAATAATTAAGGTTTGCCTTATTTGAACAGTGGATATTTAAATCAAACCCACTAGTTCCTGCTAAAGAAAACAATCACCCCAACATAACTTTCAGAGGGAATCTTAATATTTTACTTTTGTCATTTTATTACTTTTCATATTCAACTATTTATTAAATATGGTTCCTATTTTAAAGAATTTTTTGTCCTGATCACATCAGTACAAAGCAACTGAAGCAGTCCTGTATATATTAAATTTTATTACATTCTTTTACAGAAGGTTTGAGTTAAAGTTTAATTCTGGTATTTAGTTTTCTTGTTTCTGTGCAAGAAATCAATAACCAAGGATAATACTTTTCTGATTTGGCATATGACACATTGTTTTCCCTGAAGTGAATCTATTTCAAAATTCACTTGTAATATATCAGAGTTAAAAAAAAAAATTGGAAAATAAGCATCCCATATAGTGGTCCATATGATAATAAGAAATAGCAAAAAAAAAAAAAAAAAAAAAAAGCAATGTAAGAAGAAACAGCCTCTCAATGACCAACCTGTCCCCTGTCCTTTCCCACTCAGCTCAGCTGTCCGGCTTTTCAGCAGACACTGGGAACATCTGGGAAGTGGGGTTTGTTAATTCTCAACATTTCCTCCTTACACGTATTTATTAATTCACTTGTGAGCTGTTCCCTTGCAGCTTGTGATGACAAGCATTGTCTCTTAGGAGGAAGGGGAGATACCTGCCCTCTCCACTTAGAAAACTGAACACACCAGATTCTGTCCTTCTGTACTACAGTTTCCCAAAGCCGAGTTCAGATTGTTTTGCCCATGGCCGTAAGTGGTATTACCTCTTTCTGCACAGAACAAGAAACGCAGAGAAAGGCGAGACTTGCTAAGGCTACAGCTGCTTCGAATTTTTGAACTTCTGGCTGATGCTGGTGTCATAAGTGACAGGTAGGTCAGAATTCTGCTGAGTTGGTCTCCCCTCACCAAACTGGCCTTTATGTCTTTTTACCCATCTCTCTCTTCTTTTAAATACATTAACTCAAAAAGTTTTTTTTATAGAAAAAAGCTTGCTTTTTTAATATTCTATTTACAATGCATATAAATTAGTAACAAGCCTACTGTATGAATTCTGACAGTGAATCTTATTTTTCTTGAAGCATGTACTACACAGATATAATGACAAATTGCCTAAAGGTTAATTGTCCTTTATTCTAGCACAAATGGAGCCTTAGAACGAGATACGTTAGCCCTTGGAGCTTTGTTCTTAGAATACGTGGACTTGACCCGCATGCTCCTAGAAGCTGAAAATGACAAGGAAGTCGAAATCCTTAAAGATATCCGGGCACATTTTAGTGCCATGGTGGCCAACTTGATCCAGTGTGTTCCAGGTACAGTGAAACATCAGTACACATTACTTTCCTTGCTTGGGACACTGTGTTCCTCATGATTGTGCGTTGCTCTTACGTCCCAGTGACCTACGGGCAGGTCTGGGATGGGATTCTTTTATTTATTTTGAGCCGGTAGAAATACTTAAGAACATGTCATCATAACTCAGTTGAGTTGCAAAGGGATGATAGGAATTAAATCTGATTTTGTGTTCGTTATTTCTAGTCTTTGTTGTAGTTCCCACCTGGAAATGAGCACTGTGATTTCCATGGGAAGGAAGTAATTCAGAGAACATTCACACCAACTTCAGCTTTCATATTGTCTCTGTACTCTTCTGTAAACACGTAATTTTAGAAATACCCTAACTCCACCAAATCAGTGCACTGAGGCGGATTCTATACTGCTTAATGTGTTTTACATTCCATCAAAAATTATGAGAGAATTCTTTTTCACACGGTAAATGGCAAACCTTGCAGAGACACTGCCTGAACTGCAACCCGAAGCCCACTTATTTATTGCAGAGCGCGAGCTCTGTCGTCCTACACTCAGCTGCTGGGGCGAGGTGGCTCACGTGCCGACAGAGAGGGCTCCGTGTGCCCACTGTGGCACACGTGCCATAAATGCACCACTGCTACAAAACATTCTCATTCTGTTTTTTTGTTTTTGGGGGGTTTTTTTCCGGTACCAGGAATCGAACTCACGACCTCACACTTTCCAGGCAGGCGCTGTGCCACTGAGCTAAATCCCCAGCCCCAACGTTCTCATTCTGATACAAGCATATAGAACAAAACAGCTGGTTGGTTTGATATAAAAATTGTTCTAAGTTTTTGTATAATTAGAAAAAGCTACAATTCTATTTCATCATTTATTCTTACTAGTCCTCCTTATCTTTATTTTGTCATTCCCCCCCCCCCCGTACCCGGAATCGAACTCATGACCTTGCGCTTGCCAGGCAGGCGCTATGCTGCTGAGCTAAATCCCCAGCCCCCCTCCTTATCTTTAATGACCCTAAATTAAGATTTAAGTTGACTTCCTCAGTTAAAATACATTTGTTTAGAGTAGAGAATCTGCCATATTCCACAGTTCTTCATAACAGTAGGCAACAGCAGTCAGGAAAACTTGGTATGTAAGCGGCAGCCCAGAGAGAAGCGTTGTAGTTTTCTGGGTATCAATTAGGAAGCGTCTGTAGGACCCATACTCAGTCCCTGCTTCCTACTGGGTCCCTGTACTATCGACCACAGCATGAGAACATGAGAAAAGGAAGAAAAGACACAGAGAAACACAATCACCTTGAAATCTATGTTTAAGAAGTCAGGTCTTGGCCAGGCATAGTGGTGCACGCCTGTAATCCCAGCACTTGGGAGGCACCTGGAGAAGGACCGCCACAAGTTCCAGACCTGCCTAGGCAACACAGTGAGATCATCTCTCAAAAAACAAAGCAAAAATGTCAAGTCTTCTTACCTTAAGAAAACTGGAGCAGAGATTGGAAGTCAAGCTCAGTGGAACAGCACTTGCCTAGCGTATACACGATGCTGGGTTCAATCCCCAGCACCTTCCCACTTCTGCCAAAAAAGGAAAGAAACAAAAGAAAACTAGAGTTAAGAGGTGAAATTGTTGCTTTGTCCAAAATGTAATGGGCGTGTATAGTAGTGATAGGAACTGTATTCAGTCCAGTAGACTCCAGCTCTGTGTTTTCTCCCTAGTTCACCACAGAAGATTTCTCTTCCCCCAGCAAAGCCTGAGGCACCATCTCTTCATCCTGTTCAGCCAGTGGGCAGGCCCCTTCAGCATTATGTTCACTCCTCTGGATCGGTACAGCGACAGGAATCATCAGATTACAAGATACCAATATTGTGCTTTAAAGGTAGGTGCTGTTTTCCCCACTGAATGCCAGTTGTCAGCTCAGCGGTCTCTTTCCTTAAACCAGCAACCATACCTTGAAAGTAACATCAACAGCTGGACTCAGCGATGGAGCCCTTGCCTAGCGTGCGCAAAACCCTGGGTTTGCTCCCCTGCAACACCCCCCAAAATAAGAGATTAAAATAAGTGATATGACATAATAAAATATAAATGCATGTGAAAAAAATCAAATGAATAGTCACACGCATATGAATACATAAATTGACTTAAAATTTCAAAGTATACTCATTTAAACACAGATGAATAGCTATGCATAAGAAGCGATTGTACTCGAGTTGGGCTCACATGTTAGTGCTGAAGTTTTTCATCCAAGATTCCTCCTGAGAGCCATATAGTTTTGCTTATTTTGCTCCTTAACTAACTGCTTTGCCAACTGACTTCCCACTTCCTGAAAAAAGTTACCTTGACCAAGGGCTACATTCACTTGTTCGTCTCCTCTTATCGTAGGAGAGTACTAGCCATAAATTTCAATACTGTGAGGACTGTTCTCACTTTTTAATATAGTTACTTTTCTAAAGGACACTAGGCTATAAGTGTCTTTACAGCCTAGTGTCCTTTAGAAAAGTAACTATATTATCAGCTCTGTCCTGTGCTCCATGGGTTGCTGATTCAAGTTGACTTTCTGCTCCATGAGGGTTGGTTAAACGATGGTCTGACAGTAGATTGGACCAGCTAAATTAGCCAAGATCTCTCTTCTGCTCATCCCCACAACCCTTAAAGATTCTAAAGTTTAAATGCATTTGGTTCTTCTGTTTAAGGGTCATAATTATTTGTTTCTGTTTTTTCACATTTTGTTAATTCAACACATTAGTCAAATACTTGTGAGAAAGCAAAAGTTAAGAAGCTGGATTAATCTTTTAAGCAGAATTCACTTGAAATTATTGAAAAAAAAGTAAAAATTGTAAAATGGTCATTTTAAGTACTCTTTCATCATAAAGGTTTGTTATATTATAAAATTGCAAGTCCACAAGGCTAAATTTGTGGGTTTTTAAATTTTATTTAAACAAATTTTGAACCTGGTGTTCCTTATGGAGTCTGCTAAGGAGTGCTTTAAAATCTTGGAGGAGGGGCTGGGGATTTAGCTCAGCGGTACAGTGCCTGCCTGGCAAGCTCAAGGTCGTGAGTTCGATTCTTGGTACCAGAAGGAAGACAAAAAACAAACAAAAAAATAAAATCTTGGAGGAATAACTGCCTTGTAAAAGACAATCATCATTTTAAATTTGGTAGTTATGTTTTATAAAGCTAGTTGGATACTGTTACATTTTTCTAGGCTTCATCTCCATATTTTGTTGTGTCTTTATTATCAGGCAATGTCAGCAGTCTTGTGTTGCGGCCCTGTTTTTGATAACGTGGGTCTTTCCCCAGATGGCTACCTATATAAGTGGCTGGACAACATTCTGGCTTGTCAAGATTTACGAGTAAGTAGTAGACAAAGATATGTTGCTTTTGTCTTTGGGGGCTCTGTGTTGGTTGAGTTACTAAAATGTGTGAGTACTGCTCAAAACACAGTCACTTCCCGTATCAGCCACACGAGTACAAGTTTATGTGTTGCTTCCTTTGCTCTGTGATGTGCCACGACTAAAACCACAGTAACATTTACCAAAACTGACAGAAACTGGGTTATAAATCAAGGCTCACCACTGTCACAGGCTCTGTTGTGTACTCAGAGTAGCATTAAAGCAATAATAAAAAATAAAAAGATAATTTAAAAATATACTTCCAGATAACCAGTGAATGAAAAAAATAAGTAACAGTGGACACTGGAAAATATTTTCATGTGAATAATAATTAAATACTACATAAAAGCCTTGCTGAGAATGAAATTTATAAATTTAGATGAGCTAGTAGAAAGAGAAAAGGTCGGTAATGACCTAAGCATCTGTCGCATAATCTGATCACCTCTCCAGGAGTTTCTAAGTCCAGTTGGGTTGACAGTTAAGATTAACCGGCACAGCGGCTGTAACAAAATACCATATACTGAGTGGGTTATCCAAAACAGAAACTGATTTCTCACAGTTCTGGAGACTAACCAGTCCCAGATTAATGCACTGGCAGATTTGGTGTCTGGGCACAGCCCACTTCCTGGCTCATAGATGGCCATCTTTTGCTGTGTTCTCACGTGGCAGGACTGACAGTGGAATTCTCTGGGCTCCCACTTAGAAGGCATTAGTCATGCTCTTGAGGGCTGCTCATGGCCTCATCACCTCCCAAAGGACTCATGTCCGAGCAGCATCACATTTAATGTTGGGATTTAACATACACGTCTGGGGAGGACGCGGGCCACAGCATCAGGAAAGTGCAAATTAAGGCCACATAACATACAAATTATAAGGCACATAAAACTCCATTTATATACAGTTTTATTTATCCTATATTTATTCTACTACTTCGATGTATTCTGATTCTCCAAGATAAAGTTTCTAAAGCACAGCAAAACTTGCTGATTTTCTTCCAAGTCAAACTAACTTTACTTTTTAATGAAATGTTATTTTCAACTGCTCTGCAAGAAAATCATGAGCTTTTATCTGCTGCTAATTATGTAAAGCGGGGGAGGAGGACTAGGTTAAGGAAGCTTGACTGTCTGTTTAGAATATCACTTCCTATTTGGTCAAGCCCAGTGAGTAAACAAATAAGCCAGATCTTTCCTTTTGCACCTGGTTGCAACTGGAAGAAGAGTGGACAATCTCAGGGATAGTTTATATTTCTGAGAGACACGGAGACTCCAGGCACCAGGCTCCTCTGTGAGGAATATGCACTTTCACGGATCATCGAGTATTTGACAGTAGCTTCTGGAAATCTTCTCTCACGTATCCTATTACTTGTATCCAGTATGATACATTTTTCATACAAAAGCATCTGATTAAGAAGAGTCTGCTAGGGCCAGGTGTGGTACTGCACGCCTGTAATCCTAGCACTCGGAAGGCTGAGGCAGGAGGATTTCTCAAAGTTCAAGGCCAGTCTGGGCTACAAAGTAAGTTCAATGCCAGCCTGAACTGCATAGTGAAAGCCTGTCTCAAAAATATATACGCACACAAAAAAAGAGTCTGTTGAGACTATATTTCTTTTTCAGTTATTTTTTAATTGACATACAAAATTGTATGGATTTATCATGGGAACCAAAATGTTTTGAAGAATATATACGTTGTGGAATGGTAAAATCTAACTAACAAGGGTATTACTTCATGGAATTATCATTTTAGAGGTAAAAACAGGGGCTGGGGATTTAGCTTAGCAGCAAAGCGCCTGCCTGGCAAGCGCAAGGTCGTGAGTTCGGTTCCCGGTACCGGAGAAAAAACAAAAACTAGAGGTAAAAACACTTATCACCCAGTCTCTTAGCATTTTTAAGCATACAATATATCATCATTATCTAAAGTCCTCACCCACTAGATCTCTTGAACTTATTCCTAAAAGGCTGCTACTGTTTGAAAGATTCATAGCTAACTATCTCACAGTACATTTTGTAGTCAAGCCTCATGACCATATTCCTTCTAATTTTTCCTTAAAAGACTTCATATATTTATTTGAATGATATTTTTATATTTTATTTTTTAACTAAATATGCATATGTTTCAGAAATAAATACAAAAAGGAAACATTGACCATAAAGTCTTTACCACCTCTTCAGAGTTTATTTTCTTTAAAATAAAAAAAATCAAGAAATGGTATACACCCCAAAACAGACTTGCAGAGTCAAATTTAATTTATACATGATGTTAATTTGCGTTTGCAGCATTGCACTGTCATGAAGTATGTGTGTCAAAATGTTAAGCAATGGCTACGTGGTTTCCACTTTCACCGTACCCAGTTTATGTTAGCCAAGCTTGATCTGTGTCTTTCTCTAGAACATTCTTTCATTAAGCATGAGTAATTGATTTGCTCTGGTATTCAGGTTCATCAGCTTGGCTGCGAAGTCGTTGTCTTGCTATTGGAACTTAATCCTGACCAAATCAACCTTTTCAATTGGGCCATTGACCGATGTTACACAGGTTCCTACCAACTTGCATCTGGTTGCTTCAAAGCCATAGCAACTGTGTGTGGAAGCAGGTATGAATTTTTTTTAATTAATGGTCAGGGGCAAGTATAATTAAAGCTGCTCTTCATTGATGTGAATGATTGAGAGCTGAATGTTTTGCATTTATCTAAGCTGTGTAAATTCAATGAGAGTACAAAATGGTCTATACAGCCCCAGCAGATAAAATGGTCGCTGTAAGTTGGCAGTTAGATTGATTCTTCTCATTTGACTGGGGGAGTGATTTGTTGTCTTTTACTTTTGAATTGCCCAGAATTCACAGTGCAGTATGACAGTGGAATTTTTAAAATGATAAAGAAGATACATTAAAGCAGTTAAAGGAATGGCTAAAAAGGTTTGCAACAGGTGTGAACTGTAAGACTTTCAGCCATCTCACAGGCCAACTCAAACCCAAGCAGCATTTAAAATGTTGAAATCTCCTTTGTCTAAAACTTCAGGAATGTGGCACCCTAGATTCCAAAGATCACCCTTCGGTAGGAGGGGGATAAATACAGAACCCAGGACCTCATGCACGCTAAGCACACATTTCTCCCACTGAGTCCTACCCCCAGCCCCAAGATTATAATGTTACAGCTATGGCCCTTGTTATGTAGTCATTTAGAGAAGCTGTTTAGCCTGACAATTTGTCAAGTGAAATAATTGCATGACTAAGATGAAAGGGTTAATGAAGAGTCCCCCACATCCCATAAGCTAATCCCCAGAAAGATTTTCTACATTAGAAAATTTGAGAGAACGTAACTTAAGTTTATTTATGCAACAACTCAGAACCTCAGCTTCTCTTTTTAATTAAATGTCGTGTTTTAAGTAGCTACCTTGAGCTACTGGATCAAAGGAATAAAAGTGAGTTAATTTTAAACTCCAACCTACTGTGGGTCTAAATTAACAAGTATTTTAGAAGACATCTACTTTCAATAAACTTAAAATGAGCAAACTATAAAGAAGTGTTTCACTTTTAACTTTTTTTAATCTTTCTTTTATAAAGATAGTAGATAACTTTTCATGTCTAAAGCTTACACTATCAATAATCTTAGTAATGGAATTTTTATCATACACTTTAATCTCCATCAGAGTCATACCAGATGACAATAATTTAAACTGATTTTCTACCAGGTTTTATTTTTCTGTATAAGCTTTATTAAAAATGATGTATACCTGCAAGCTATTACTGAAAAAACATTGTTGGGGAAATCTTCCCCAGAGTGGTTTTATTTTCAAGTAATTCAACATTCTAAAAATATAAATAAAATATATGATCCTTTAATTTAAAAAAAAATATATACTTAGCATCTATGACTTGGACCTCTGTGTTTGACACAAATAAAAGTAATAAATGTTTCCCTTCACTGCTCTTCTAAGCGAACTCGGTGTGAGCTGTCGTAGTCTAATGTATTTCATGGCATGCCATCTCATAAAATAGCATTCCATTTGTCTGACTAAATGTAGGTATTTTTCCTTAGGGAACACAGATAAATGCTGGACAAATGTGGCAATATAGTCTCAAGTTCCATGATATTTCTAGTAACAAAGATATTACTAGTCCAGTTATAAAACCCTCCATCTTCCAAGATGTTTTTAAGGCACCGTCCTAAAGTCTTTTCATCCGTTAGACCATTTTTCACCACAAAGTTCAGTATTTAAAGTTTCAGCTGTTGGCTAAATTTGCTCTTTCTCATAAATTCTCAGCCTATGTGGTCTAGACAGGCCTCCAGATTGGCTTAAGCAATCTCTGATTAATTAATTTTTCATTACTTTTTTTCCAAAAGCAATTCTAATGTTTTCAGATTTTGCTTTCTCTCTAAGTTCACTTATAAAATGTGACTAAGATAAGGCATTCCCTTATCCTATAAACTATGTTCCTGAACAATCATTTGCAGACTGAACCATATTTTAAATTTCTTCTTATCTGTATAATAACACCTACACATCATTTCTAAAGAAGAGTCCCTCTTGTCAAATAATTACCTCCTCCTTTTCCAATGGGAATTCTATGCTGCATTTACTATTAGAGGAATATGACAATTTATCAGATTTGCTTATTAAGGACTATTTTAAGTTTATTTTAACATAACTGAAAGATTAAATTAAGTAACTGTCAATGTCAGTTATTTACTTCGAGTTTTAGAAGAGGGACAGTTTACATAGTTAGTAAGTTAATCCTTCAATGCGTTAGCTGTGATAATGAGAGAAAAATGCTTCTCTACGTCCCTGTTTTTTGTTTCCTTACCACCTGTGTGTGTGACTACTGTGAACTTACTGGTCTCCAGTCAAAACACTATGGCTGGCGCTGAGGATTTATCTCATCGGCAAAGCGCCTGCCTGGCAAGCGCAAGGTCGTGAGTTCGGTTCCCGGTACCGGAGAAAAACAAAAAACAAAAAACAAACAAAAAAAAAACCACTATGGCTGTTCTAGGCCAAGATTCTAGTGAGACTGGAATAGGACCAGGAGACATGAGGAGGACAAAAATGATAGCAGAATTGGCAATACTAACTTAAAAGAATTTTTCATAAAATGTGTGACTATGTGATTAAAAGCTATTAAATGCAGCTCGTTAGAAGAAAAGAAAATAACTTTCTTTCAGACAGCTTCTGTGCATATACTTATCCACCTTCCCTCAACTGAAAATGAGATCAATCTGAAACAAATAAGGAAATTGTGAATAAAACTAAAAGGTTTTCTAATATGTTGGGCATGGTGGCACACAGCTATAATCCCCAGCACTCAGGAGTCTGAGGTGGGAGGATCACTGAGAGTTTGAGACCAGCCTGGGCTACAAAGTGAGCTCAAGGCCAGCCTGAACTGCATAGTGAGACCCTGTGTTAAAAAGACAAATAAATAAAAAAGTAAAAAATAAAAAAATAAAAGATTTTCTAAGGTTGTGAAACAGGCTGTTTTCAGGTATTACCTTGGCTTACCAGAATTCCATTTGTGTTAAAATACTACTGTTTTTATTTTTACCCTCCAAAATAATCTTTAAGTATTTTAATAGATGTCCTAGAGTTACATGTTAAATAAAAGCTTTGATTTCTTTGTGTTTTTGAGACAGGGTCACACTATAGTTCAGGCTGGTCTCGAACTTGCAACACCAGTCCTGCCATGTCCTCCCGAGTGCTGGGATTACAGGCATGTACCATCACACCTGGCTAAAAGTTTTGGTTTGGAAAGAGTTTTGTTGGGGGTGAGGGGTATATTTTGTCATTGTGTGTTTGTTTTGCCTTAATTTTCCACAATCTTTCCTAATTTAAATGGAGGCTAGAAAACTTGAATTCTTAAAAGTAAGTAGCCATTTCTTAAAGGAATAACATGCTTCTATCAACAAGGAAGACAAACAAAGTTTATGATTCATGACTCCAAATCACACACATGCATGTGTGATGAGTGGCTTCATTTGGCTGTCACCAGTGAAAGCATTTCAGAACCAGAGTTTGGACAGTTAGACTCTGGAAACAGAACATCCGGGTTCGGATCTTCCCTCTGCCTCTAATCAGGCTCTGCGCTCTAGAACAAGTTACTACAAATACTTACTCTTAAAATGGGAGCAATAGTAGACTAAGGATTAAGTAATATGAATCTCTTGGTCTAAGGCCTTGACCTTAGGGTCAGACAAGGGAAGCATTTAATAATATTCAGTAGATGTTTCCAGGGACACCTATGAAGTAATCCCCTCTATCAACTAGGAAAATCTGCTTCTGAGGTACAGAAAACCTCAGAATCATCCCCAGCCTTGTCGTTTATTTTTGTGTAAGCTAGAGCTAGTGGCATTTCCCAAGTTTTTCAAAATCTCTTCTTTCTATGTAGTTTCACATCTTGCTTAACATGTGTATCAAATCTTCCTTTCATATTTATTTTATCATTTTTTTATTCTGTGTGCTCACAGCTGTGTTTCTTTTTTATCCTTTTATTGCCTGTGTTGAAAAATTAATACTGAATGTAAAAGATTCCATTTCTAAACATATTTTAAACATCTAGGTGTAGAAGTTTTTGTTTTTCTTGCTTTTAGTTTTATTAGTACATGTTTGCAGTATATAATGATTAGATTTATCCTGGGGAGTTGGTACATGTGTCTAACACAACTTAATTCTTTTTTTTTTGGTTTTTCTCCGGTACCGGGAACCGAACTCACAACCTTGCACTTGCCAGGCAGGCGCTTTTGCCACTGAGCTAAATCCCCAGCCCCTAACACAACTTAATTCTATGTGCTTCCCTTCCCCTCCCCTTAAATGCTTTATTTGTGGTCTTTTGCTCACTTGAAATCTTCCTACTTTTTCTTCTCTGGGTTTCTTTCATTTTCTGTAGCTATGCTGTTCCTTTCAGTGCTGTCTGCATGAATTCCACAGTCTTAAGCAACTTATTGAGTGGTCAGGTCCATGGCCCTGCATCAGAGGGAAGCTTGGTCTACTCCTTTCTTTCCTCTAAATTCCCAGTGATCCAGCAATATTTTCCAGTGCTCTTATATATAAACATATACTAAGTCCCAGTGTCAGAAGAAAGCACAAGAGGAGGCATTCCTGCTCCTGTTTGGCGTGGGGGAATTTTTCTTTCAATTCTACATTCAGAAAGGTTGTCTTCAGATACTGCAGTTTGTGAGAACTCCAAGTCAGACTGGCTACGCCGGACAGTACTATGGGAAGGCTGGGAGCTGAGAACTCAGTGGATAGAGCTTGAATTCTTTGGGATGAGACATATTTAAGAGTGTACACTCCACTGCTTCTGTACAAACTCAGACAAGTACTTCTTTAGGCCTGTCAAGTTTTTCATGAAGATTAAATAACAAATCTAGGTCAAGGCCTTGGCCCAGTAGCTGGAACAAAGACCGTCATAACATAAATGTCACCTATCATTCACCATGATCATTCCCACCTCTCCTCATCACTGCTGTTGTCTCCGGGCATTCTCCAGCTGGCCAGCAGATGCACCAGCCTTATCCTGTAATCATTTAAAAATAAAATAGACTGGGGATGTAGCTCAGAGGCAGAGCATGTTCAAAGCATGTCCAAGGTCCCAGGTTCAGTGCCTCACACCAGAAAAATAAAAACAACAGTTCTAGAAAAATAACCACTTATTTTAATTTATAAGCAAGATAAATGTGTTGCTGACATTTCTGGAGGTTGGCAGTCCAAGATTAAGGCACTGGCAGGATGAGTATCTACTGAGGGCCTGTACCCCATAGGCTGCCTTCTCTGCCCTCGCATGGCAGCTCCCTTGAACCTCTTTTCTGTAATTTTTGAAAATTTTTATTTATACTCATTGGTAGTACATAATGATTACATTCATTGTAGGGAATTTGTAAATGTATGTATTGTACCCCCCATCCCACACAAAAGTAATCATTTTGGAGTGCAAATAGGTAGAGCTATTTTGGAGGGCAATTCACCAATATCTACTACAATTTTAAATGTGTCCTTTGATCCTCCATGACCTCTTCTAGGAATCTTTTTCAGAGAAATATTTGCAACTTAGTATTCTTGGCCCTTTGAAAATGGCCTAAACGTCTGTGCATATCAGAGGTTAGATTCCCTGGGGAACAGTCTAAGGTGGACAGTCTGTTCTGAGCATAGAAAATTTATTAATGATACCTTTAGGGTTCATGTCAATGAGAAAGTTAAAGAAGTAGGGGGTAGCAAACATAAAAACCCTGGATCTTAATAACTGGAGGCTCCTCACATGCTAGTAAGGAGCAGCGCAACTTTGACCTAGGCAAGTCCCTTTGGATAAAGGCAATTTTGCAGAGGGGCTCAGCTCAAGAACATCCACTGCCAGCATTTTGGTTGAAAGATTAAATGCCTCATTTCTGAAAAGAGAACACCACAGCATCTACACTGTTGTTTAAGATACATCCGTACCAGGGAATCTGAGCTGCTTTTAAGAACAAAATGAGCCTCACAGTCCAGTATAAAGCAAATAGTACAACACATCCAGCCTTTATAATCACATTCATATTGACAATCCTGTGCTTTGGGAGGGGGTATTCAGATGCTTATATCTATTTAAATACTTAGAAAAGACAAATTGTTGACGGTAGTTGTCTCTACTATAAACAACAGTTGGGAGAAAGGCAGGAAATGGACTACTGCTGCATTTTATTCTGTTCACTTAACCAAAACCATCACCAGCTTGCCAACCATGTGAGTAAACCATCTTCACAGTGGGACCTTCAGGCCTGTGTGTTGCATCAATCTTTTAAAAGAGAAATGCATTCGTGTATCAGAAAACATTAACATTTAAGTAGTATTAAAAAAGAGGGAGTTGGGTGTGGTGGTGCATGCCTGTAGTCCCAGCATTCGGGAGGCTGAGGCAGGAGGATCTTTGCGAGTTTGAGACCATCCTGGGCTACAAAGTGAGCTCAAGGCCAACTTGAACAGCGTAGTGAGACCCTGTCTCAAAAAGACCAAAAAAAAAAAAGTAGGGAGAAGTTCAAATACTTCCTCAAGTTACATATTTCATTATTTCAAAAATATTTTAATATATATGCTAATGTGTTTCATTCATACTAGTAGTTTATCTTGGGTTGTTGAACAGACAGTTTCATGTTACCTGTTTCTTTTTCATCAGACTCTTTCTGGCTTATGTCTTTTACTCTGAGTAACTACTATCCTTTGAAGAGAATGAAATACAGTGGATTAACTATTGTTATCCTCCTAGGTTTTTGTTAATTTTTTATTTTTTCCTAAAATAAGGAAAAAAATGAACTTTTTTCATGAATTGAATCAGTTCTCACTATAATTTCTCACTATAAATGGGATGTCTTCATAGTGGGACTATTCCTTTTTAAAAGGCTAATTTTCCTACAGCAGAACTTCTCAGGCAGTATAATTATGCAAGGAGGAAAAGGAACCTACAGGGAAAACAATCTGCTTTTCACCTCCAGGTTATTTTCTGCTTCCTTAAGTTCGCTAAAAAGTTAAGTGTCGGTCAACCACCTTCTACATAGAAACCAGTCACTACACTGTCCCACCAGAGGTTTTCTATTTGTAACTTTTTTGTATTAAAAACTAAGAAGATAATACATTGAAAAGATGTCAACTTTAAATAGTATTACATAGCACAAAAAATGGATTTAATTTTCATATTCCATTTGGTTATAATGTTAATTTCCACATCATCTAATCTCTGTTCCTTGTTCCCCCGGCTCACATCCCACCAAGTCTTTCTTTTTTTTGTGTGTATGTTTTTTCCGGTACCGGGAATCGAACTCACAACCTCGTGCTTGCCAGGCAGGCGCTGTGCCGCTGAGCTAAATCCCCATCCCTTCACCAAGTCTTTCTGATCTTATCTCCTCAGTACGCTTCAGAGCCAGGCTCTTCTTTCTGCATCTCCTGTCTTGCCCTCATTCCAGCCCTCATCAGTTCCCATTTCAATTCTTCCAACAGCCTCACTCTTGGCTCCCTAGAATCCATTCTCCACACTCAGCCTGAGCTTCGAAAATGAACGCCATTGCCTCATTCCTCTGCTACAAAACCTGTAGTGGTTCTCTGAAAAGTTTAGCGTGAAGTTCTTTGGTTGGCGATCTTCTGAACCACCTAGCCCCATCTTCTCTTCTTCAATTTAATTCCTTCATTCAATTTGCTATGCACAAATTCTTTCCTTTTACTGGAGGTGTTTTGCCGTTTTATTCCTATAATTCTTCAAGATGTTTTTCTCCTGCCTAGAACACTCTCTATTCTACCTCTCCCATGCTATGTAATGTCTCCTGGTGCTTCAGGGTTCACTTTCCTTGTTTGCTCAGCCAGAAAGCCTCTCCTCACTCCACATCTGATGTAGGTGGGACTCGAGTAGTGTGCTGTATATACTCCCATTAGAACACTCACTGGCACCAAGCTGCACGTTATATATAATTTATCTCCCTAACTAAGCTGCAAGCCAGCCTTAGTAAAGTCATATTATCAATACTTTGCACCTTGTTCCTAGTAATTGTTCAGTACAGTTATTCAGTACTTAGTAAATTTAGATAGATCATACAAAAAATGCTAATTAAATGAGCTATTGAGAAATTTAATACATATATTCTCTTTTGTCCTTTCCTTTCGTATTTCTTTCCATTTAAATCTGTTTGCATGAGGTAGATTTTTGTGTTTTTTAATCTGGGTATCACAATATTCCACTAAATACAGTCATTTTCCTTCATCTAATAAATAGCAAAAAGAGAAATTTTTTTTTAAAACAGCCAAATGGGCAAGGGAATTCATTAGTAAGTGACCGAGATCAATAGCCATCTCGAATTTTGAGAAGTAATTTTCTTTTGAGCATCTGACCCAAGCTGTCTATAAACTATGCTGTTTGTTTTTTAGGAACTATCCCTTCGACATAGTGACATTGTTAAACCTTGTTCTATTCAAGGCCTCTGACACCAACAGAGAGATCTATGAAATCTCCATGCAGCTGATGCAGGCACGTATCACTACTGGCATGGGAAATATCTCTCCTTGAGCATTTCTCTGAATGCATTGTTTCTGTGTATCATGGGTGGATTTCAAGAGTGAGGAAACAGTTATATAATGTTCTGTAAACATTAATTAACTGATGCTTTACATTTAATTCTGTATTAACATAGGCCTTACAGTATTATTAAATATAAATGCTCCTGAGATGCTAGCTAATGTTTCTTTGTATTGTTTCTGTCTTGCCTACATTTTAATAGATCCTTGAAGCAAAGCTTTTTGTATACTCAAAGAAAGTCTCCGAACAAAGACCTGGCAGTATTCTCTACGGGACACACGGCCCACTGCCACCCCTCTACAGCATGTCACTGGCTCTCTTGTCCAGTGAACTGGCCCGGATGTACCCTGAGCTCACTCTCCCACTCTTCTCAGGTACTGTGAAATAGTCAGCATTGATACGCAGCCTAACTCTAACCTAAGGGCTGGTCAAAAATAGGGTGTGTTTGAATCTTTAAAACGTGTTACAGTGAAAGACACATTGCCATTAGTCTCCCTCAGAGTACTCGCTGTCACCTCAGACACATGGATCCCATCATTCTTGCCACTTTCTAATGCAGTTCTGGGTGTCTTCAGTTGTGTCTTTATGAGATAAGATCAAAACCGCAGTGAGTGCCGCTGCCAAGTACATCCAACAGAAAGGCAGGCTCGTAAGAACGTCGCAGTTTGCCCTCACCCGTCTTATTCACTATATCTGCCACTGTGCAACTCCTGGCGCTTGCCCAAAGTCAAAATGGCCATGAAAGGTCAACATTTGGAATGGATTCAGGATATCATTGTAGCCAGGACAGTGCAAATAAAAACTCACCAAAAAGGACTTCCAGAACTGCTTCCGAAAGTGGCAAGAGTCATGGGATAAATGTGTCTGAACTAGAGAGAGGGTTAAGGGGGATTGATGTCAACGGTCTTTTACTCCAATAATTGTTTTAATTTCAAGATTTGCCATAGTGTAATTTTAGAGTTAAAATTAATGATACTAAATTTGTGGATAAGAATCGCTATGAGCTAAATCCAGTTGTAGGTAAAAGTAAATTCTAGAATATGTTTAAAACATTTTAAAATGTGAATTATCTAAGCTGGGCATGGTGGCACAGGCCTGTAGTCCCAACACTCGGGAGGCTGAGGCAGGAGGATCAGTGTGAGTTTGACACCAGCCTGCGCTACATATGAGTTCAAGGCCAGCCTGAACTACATAATGAGATCTGCCTCCAAAAAATAAAGTCATTATCTAAAACAGTGCAGATATAAACATATAAATGACAAATTCAGATATGCTTAGACCAATAAAAATTGTGTACACATTATATATGTGAATTTTTCAAGAAATTAAATATAGACAACATAATATGGTACCACTAATTGCTTATTTAATTGCTACAAGTTGTCTGGAGGTGATGATAGCAGTGGTATTTTATAGCTTATGTGTTGCTATGTATATAAATTGTTGACAGCAATTTTTGGCATGTCCTTATAAGCAATTTTAATGAATAATTTTTGTGAGGGTGCATTCTCAAAGATTCGTGTTTGTCCTTTAGCTTATTGCCTAAGCTCACTTATTGCCTTGCATAGTATCTTAAATTCATCCTGTTTCCATCCGCATCTGCACTGCCTTGGTCCAGTTTCTTCCCAGTCCTTCCCTGCCTTTGCACCCTTGGCTGCAGTCCGCCTTCCCCACTGTAGTTCATCGACTGTGCAAAGCCAGATTTACACAGCACTTCTCAATTCAGATTTCTCTGCCCGTTTGTCCCAAAGCATAATAATAGTTTCCATTTATTGAGTTGTCAGTATATACCAGACTCTGGTATATACACATTTTATATGGATTGTTTATCTTCACAACCCCTGAAGTAGTTTAGAGATTAGACAAAAGCTCTGGAGTTGGACAGCCTGGCTGTGCATTCACTAGCTGTTTGACCTTGGGCAAGTCATAGAACTCCAAACTCTGTTTGTTCATCTGCAAAAATAAGCAGCATAGCCTAACTAACTGTTAGGCTATGCGGATTAAAATGAGCTAATGAACCACAATCATTGGCCCAGTCCTAACATGAGATTTTTCATTACCAACATCATCACCGTCATCCTGCTCCCCTGCTTTACAGGTGGGCAACTAATGCTTAGAGATGTTAAATAATTTGCTAAAGACAGTATAGCTGGGAAGTACCAAGCCAAAATTAAATCTAGTCCTCTCTTCCACCAAAGCCAGTGCTATAAAATTAGAGAAATCCAAGAAAATGGGAGGAGAGGAAAGAGAGGGGAGGAGGAAGTGAGAAGAATTAAGATGTGCTTCGTGCATGTACCAACTCCCCACAGTGAGTGTAATCATTAGGTACTGAGAACAGGTAACAATAAAATTTTTTAAAATTTTAAATAAATTGTCACCATCCCTAAAAAAAATTAAGTAAAACGGGAAATCCTCTACCTATTCTTTTGTTATTTGTTTGTTTTTTTGAGACAGGGTCTTGCTATGTAGTTCAGGCTGGCCTTGAGCTCACTTTGTAGCCCAGGCTGGTCTCGAACTTGCAATGATCTTCTTGCCTCAGCCTCCTGAGTGCTGGGATTACAGGCATGCGCCACCATGCCCAGCCTCAACCTATTCTTTTAAAACCTCCTTTCAATAACCTGCTTTTTACCTTTTCATCCAAAAACCCTCTCCTCCAGTCTTACCTTATCTATGACCAGTAGGCCAGGCCTCTTGAAAATCCTTGCTTCTGTGCAGCCTGTCTCTTCTGCTTGGAAAGGCTTTCCTTCTTCTCTCAATTTACAACCCTCCTTAAAATCTAATTTAAAATCCACCTGTACTGTTTGGACCTCCCCATCTACCTGTGGCGAAGTCACTCACATCCCTGCAGTAGTGGGAGAACGAAGAGAAGTCATCTTAGCACATTGATCCTTTTCTTGGAAAACTAAAATTTATTTTTAATCACTTTAGTCAAGATTGGAGTGCTACTTCGGTGCTAGGGACTGCTTGGGTTCTGGGAGTATAGGGGTGAATAAAACAGTCTCTTCAGTCAAAAGCTCAAAATAGCAATAAAGACAGACATGCAGTCATGACTATGATAAAAAGGGTACGCACATTCCTGAGATGAAACCAGTTATTAGGTCCAGACTACTGAGAAGAACTTCCCAGAGAAGTTGACGTCAGAGCTGTAGTTTAAAAGCGAAGAAGTTTTCAGAACGGACAAATAGTTGATAGATTGTGCAAACAGCCTATCGATTGCCTTAAAGGAGAAAAATAGCATGATGCGCTAGTATAGGAGGTAGTATAGCGATGTCAGGGTGGCTAACGTAGCATGCAGCGCGTGGAGGAGTTAGGGATGGTCTCAGACAGACAGAGAGGCAGACGCCAAGTCTCAGAAGGCCTTGTGCTCAACACTCGCAATGCGTAGGCCAGCAGTTTCCTGTGCGTGCCCTTTGACCCCCTCTGGAGCTCTGCGAATAGAGTGGGCATCCAAGCAGGTTGCTGGGGTTTTGACAGCTATTGCTGAGAGGCAGATAAGAAGAGGGGTGACAAGATCAGCATGTGTTTTAAAAAGACAGGTTGCAGTGTAGAGAGTTGATGGGAAAATTTCCACTCCAGAGAGAGAAGACCGCTTCAGAAAGGATGACGTAGGCCAAGGAGGAAAGAATACATGGAAATGGCCTGAACCAAGACAGCCCAGTGTGGACGGAGAGGGGAAATCATAGTCAGAAGCTGCTGGCAAGGGCACAGGAGAGAGTTAATGGTGGGACTCCTCGAGGGTGGCGAACATGTTGCTGGCCACCTAAAGGGCCAAGCCAGGCGGAGTGCAAGGTAGAAATCATGAATGCAGCCTGGGGTACTAGATGTAGGCCTCTGCTGGACCTTCCCACGTACAGACAGGCCTGGGGTCGGGAGAAGGCCAGCCCTTGGGTCTCATGGCAGAGTAGACTGCGTGAGAGCCAAGTGCATGGGGGAGGTCAGGAGTGGAGAGAGCAGAGTGAAAGCGAAGAGCTTAGCGCTCTACTCTGCAGACTCAGAGAAGGGAACGAGCAGAAGGGAGGTGTGCTCAGAAAGCAGGGGAAATGCCCAGGAGCCAGTGTCATGGATCCCTAAGAAATCAGAGAATTTACGAGAAAGAAGCAAGCACAACACAACCTGGGGTGGAGTAGAGGGATCCCAGATGATAAGGTCTAAAAATGGCCCTCCCAGTTTTGCAATTAATTGGTAACTGTTGATAGTGTCCATGCAGAGGTGGCAGCAGATGCCAGATTTCAGTGGCTCAGCTGGGAAAGAAAGGGTATCAAGCCACACACAGTAACACACACCTCGGATCCCAGCTACTGAGGAGGCTGAGGCAGGAGGATGGCAAGGTGAAGGCCAGGGTGGGCAATTCAGCAAGACCCTATTTCCAAAAAAAATTTTTTTTTTTTTTTGGTTTTTCTCCGGTACCAGGAACCGAACTCACGACCTTGTGCTTGCCAGGCAGGCGCTTTGCCGCTGAGCTAAATCCCCAGCCCCCTCAAAAAATATTTTTAAAAGCTGAGGCAATAACTCAGTGCTCCCTAGTTCAATTCCCAGTATCACCCGCAAAAAAGAAGAAGGTGGAGAAGAAGGAAGGAAGATGGAAAGAAGGGAAACAGAGGCAGGAACTAAGGCGGGATGCAATCAGAGTTTTTAAGAATGTTTTGTTTTGAAATTCTGTATCATTTTTAATGTTTTTTTAAATTTTTATTCCCTTTAAAATAAAAGACAGTGGGCCAGAGACATAGCTTAGTGGCACAAGCACCTGCCTGGGAAGCGCAAGGTCCTTACTTCAATTCCTAGTATGAGAATAAATAAATAAATAACCCAATATATTAGCTGAGAGGGAGAAGCCAATATAATGGGAGCTGCTGACAGAGGAGCTAAATAGTACGGCACATTTAACAAGCTCAGAAGCTCGTATAATGAGTTGCAATCATTTCTACATTTTCTCATGAATTTGCCTTTGGGCTATTTTGATTTATGTGCAGAACTTTGTTAAAATAACATGAAAACATGAAGAGGGTATAATAGATCCCTAACTCTTGTTTTTACTGCCCATACTGTTATAAACCTTGGGTGAGATTTTTATTACATGTAATTTTAGATGACCTAATTACTTGTAAGTAGCCAGACAAGTTGTTCAAGTCCTTCCCAAAGGAGCTGGGGAAAGTAGATAGCATCCCACTATCATGATCTCACATTTTATTTAATTTATTTCTGGAGGGGTAACTAGGGATTGTTCCCAGATCTATGGTATTTTCTCTTTTTTATTATTTTCTGTTCAAAAAACATCTCTACAACCCAGGTGCTGATCTAGGCTCTTGGAATATCTCAGACAGACCCTGTGGCATCCTACAAAATGTAATTAACAGAATTACCAGGCAAATCATGCAATATGTTGGAAGGTGATCATTGCTACAAGAAGTGTACAGATTTCTATACCATTGTAGTGGGTCTCTCCATCTGACTGCAATTTTTTTCTCCTCTCAAATTTCTAGCTCTTTCACCTAAAAATGTCCTGAATCTTTACAACCAGAGATCATTTTCCTCCACCAAGCCCCTAACATTTGGTGCCATCGTTATGTCATTTGTCACTTTCTCCCTTGCCCCAGTTACTTATCAATGTAACTTACCTCGGAGTTTTCTTCCCGGGGCGGGAGCCATGGTGTCAGTTTGTGCTGTCCCCAGCATGCCTTGCACAGTGGCCTACACTGGAACATGCCCAATACTTAGGCATAAAAGAAGGTTCCGATTTTCTAAAGCTCCAAGGATGTATCCGAACAATCCATAACAACAGTCATAGTACCTAAACTTAGAAATTAAGGAAGGATGAAACTTTGACCTCTGTAAAATATACAGAGGTTAATGTCTGGTTAATGGGCTATAGCATTAAATATGTTCTTATTCTTCAAAATAGAAAATTGTCATTTTAATTTTAGGAAAAGGACCAAATCAATTAGTTATCCTTTGGGAGACCCAGTAGATTATCTTAGTGTAATTCCTAGCATCTGTGTTCTGTAATTTAACAGCCATGGCGCTCAGAGTTAGTTTACATGTCACTCTGGATGACACATGCTCAAGGGGAAGTTTACTAGTTTCCCTTTGCCAAAAACAGTTTTTTCTCTAGATATAAGAAATAGATTACTTCAGAGCCTACTGCATGCACATAGTGCTGTGCCTCTCAGTTCTGTAGAAACATTATTCAGATGGTAAAATTAAATGCTGCTGGCAATGAAATGATACAAAAACGCCATCAGAGAAACTCATGGTGAGATGGCTGAGCTGGACTGAGAGCTTAGCCCTCCAGAACCACGTATCTTACAAAGTAGGGCGCGGCACTCAGCAGCCAGCTTACACCGGCGCCCCAGTTTTCAGCGAACCTCCACAAACTGGTCTTACTGTTCTTGGGGCTCCTCAGCTCACTTTTAACAACCAGTGTTTCATGAAGACGCTTTGTAAGTCACTGCGTTATTGAGAAAACAGTGATCATTTTTAGACTGTTCCCAACCACCGGTGATGAGCGGCCTTCTGGGTGACAGTCTCTGCGCTGACCTTTTTACATACACTGTGCTTATACCTTCATAATAGCCTGAGGTCCCCCAGCAGGTCCCCACTGTACACATGAGGAAACTAAAGAGGACAAGGTTCAAATAACCAGCCCAGCATCACACGCAGCTAGACTGTGGTGGAAGGGGAATCCTAGTATTCATCCTCTGGCTCCATGTCCCTCGTCTTGTGTACTTCGGCACGTCTCTCCCACTAACAGTGGATATGCACTCCATCTCACTGTGTTTCTGCCCTGACGGTGCTGTGGTACTTTCCCGCAGAGAATGCCAGACATGGGGCAGAAATGGAAAGCACTGTTTGATCAGTAGGTTGATGTTTGTGTTTTAGTTTATTTTGGTGGGATAATAACACACAGCTCTTTCTCTCTCTCCCTCTCCCTCTCTCTCTCTCTCACTGCAATTCACTTCAGAGGTCAGCCAGCGATTCCCCACAACGCACCCAAATGGGCGTCAGATCATGCTCACTTACCTGCTGCCCTGGCTGCACAACATTGAGCTGGTGGACAGCAGGCTCCTCCTTCCAGGGTCAAGCCCCAGCAGCCCGGATGATGAAGTCAAGGACCGGGAAGGAGAAGCGACCGCCTCTCACGGACTGAAAGGGAATGGCTGGGGCTCTCCGGAAGCTACATTACTGGTCCTGAATAACCTCATGTACATGACAGCCAAGGTAAACTCAACTAGCACAACATCGTCATGAGAGAGCCCCAGAAGAATCAAACCCCATATACTGCAAAACCAGGGAAAATTGTATTTATTTTTAGGAATAAATAATGGTGATAGCCGGGCGTAGTGGTGCACGCCTGTAACCCCAGTACTTGGGAGGCTGAGGCAGGAGGATCACTGCGAGTTCGAGGCCAGCCTGGGCTACAAAGTGAGCTTGAGGCCAGCCTGAACTGTACAACGAGACCCTGTCCCAAAAAGAAAAAAAAACAGGTGATAGTTTTACAACAGTGCAGATCTACTTACTCTCACTTAATGCTGCACTTAAAAATAGTTATGATGAGGTCTAAAATATGGCTCTATAGTAAAGTGCTTGGCTAGCAGCACAACCCCTGGGTACATCCCCAGTACCTGCTCCCACAAAAAGTAGTTATGATGGCAAGCTTTATGTTAGGTATACGTTACTGCAGTTGAAAAAAAAATAGCAAAATGAGTCTGACTTTTTAATTGCATGAATGTATATGATGCATAACTGATTTGTGCTTCTTTAGTTGTTCCCCACTGAAAAATGGTATCTTTCTGGTGAAGACTGTTTCCCTCTTCTTATGGTTTCTGAGATGGCCATGGCCCTCAAACCACTCTCTGTCAAACATTTTGCATCTTTATACTTGTCACACGTTTATTTTGTTTGCTGTAGTATGGGGATGAAGTTCCTGGACCGGAAATGGAAAATGCTTGGAATGCATTAGCCAACAACGAGAAATGGAGCAACAACCTAAGGATCACCTTGCAGTTCCTGATCAGTCTGTGCGGGGTCAGCAGTGACACCATACTCTTGCCCTACGTAAGTGCGTCTCAGGCATTCTTGATGGGGCTTCCGTGTGCGCGCTGCAAGTGAGAACGTGCCCTCAGCTCCCATGAAAACAGAGTTGTCAGTTTCGCCGGTCATAATCGTCTCCTTGTCCACATACTGCCTTCTGCCCCCACGATGCAGGCAACCTGTGACAGCGACTACTGGCATCCCCTAAACCTGGGGAAATAGAAACCTATGAATTAAGGAGTAAACGTTTTTCTAACAGTGATAAACATTAGTGCCAGCTTATAAGAGACCATAAGTAAAGCTTTTTATTATCGCTAATGAAGATGTTTTTATATATACATTCTGATGTCTGAAGTAGGAAAAGAAAGAGAACTCTGGTTTTTCTTTAGAAACTCAGATGATCGGAGGAAGGTAAGCAGAGATGTCTGATGTTTACTGTTTGTGTTTGAAGTCGGTAGGATCAACACAGCGCAGCTTTGAAACATGAGCTCCCTTGGCATTTGCATGCCGGTGGTGCTTGTGAGAGTTTGCCTGCCTTCCTGCTGGTTTGAGCCTCACAGGCCTCCGTGCGCCCCATGAGCCTCAGGTTGGACTGTGAGGCCTCCAGTAACTCAAAGCATTAATTCAGAGTTATTTTTAACATCTAAACTTTAAAAACAGCTAAACTCATTTGTTTGTAGGGGAGAAGAGGATAAAAAGAGACTGGATTCCTTCTTAAACAAAAATAGCTAGCAGTTTTTCCCAGGGCTTGTATAAACAAAATTCTTTCTGAAGATAAGACCTTTGATGGCAAGGTTTTAGCACAGACTGAATCATTGTGCCCCAAGGGTACATATTTTAAATTAGACTGTTAGAAAAGGTAAGGCTTTTCTGACTCCTGTCAGACCTGCCTCTGTAGCTAGGTAAAAAATTTTTTTGGTTTTGGTTTGTTTTGGAAGGGCAGGGTGGAGACAGGGTCATGCTACATAGTGCAGAATGGCCAGGTTGGGCTTGAACTTGTGGTGATCCTCTTGCCTTAACCTTACAAGTGCTGGGACTACAGGTATGCACCATCACACGCAGCTGCAAAGTGACTATTAATCCAAATACCTTCATCATCCTAGGACAGCACAAGATCAACTATTGGGACCGTGTGGCTGATAACACGTTATCCAAGTGCAAGTGTTTCAAGTCCCAGCGTGTTCATGGGCTCTGGCAAACATCTCTTGTTTATTAACTTTCTTCCGCTCAGATTAAAAAGGTGGCAGTATACTTATGCCGTAACAACACCATTCAAACCATGGAAGAGCTTCTCTTTGAGCTTCAGCAGACCGAGCCAGTGAACCCCATAGTCCAGCACTGTGACAACCCACCTTTCTACCGCTTCACGGCTAGCAGCAAGGCCTCTGCAGCAGCTTCCGGTAGGGACCAGGGTGACTGGGCATACACCTTGTAATAGGTCTCTGGGTTTTTCCTTACGTGCAGCACTGAAAGGGTATGGGGTGTGTCTGTTCCTTTTTCTTAGTTCCTGTGGATGTGATCATTTGTAAATGGCTTAAGAATAGCTTAGACCCTAAGGGCATTGTTGGGGTAGTGAAGTGACTATAAGCACAACCAAGAACTAGGTGCTGTGTATTCCCCCACAACGGAACTTTTTACTTCTGGCTGACCCCAAGCCGATGCCGCAGTCACTTAGAAATCATGTCTGCCCTCCTCTGTTAGTCTGCGGCAGTCCCTTGATTAATATTCTGCCAGGATGTGTTCAGATACATCCAGAATCTGACAATCTGAAATCCAAAATGTTCCAGAATCTGAAACTGACATGATGCCAGAAGTGTGATGCTTCAAGGTACACAAACTTTGTCTCATGTATAAAATTATTTAAAATTACGTTAGCCTATGTTTATAAGGTATATTTGAAACAAATCATTTTCTTATTTAGATTTGAATCCTCTCTCCAAGATATCTCATGTGTATGCAAATATTCCAAAATCCAGAAATCATCCAAAATCTGAAACACTCCTGCTCCCTAGCATTTTGGGGAAGGGATACTTGCCCCAGGGCTGTATTATCATTTTCAATAAATTAGTATCTTTTCATGAAATGTGCACTCGTCTTCTCAATGCCTTAAAGCCAGCTTCACTCCCACCTACCTGATATTATAACTGCCTTTAAATTTTTCTCCTTCTTTAATCTCTTGTGCCTTCTTTTTACCCTATTGCTGCCTGCCAGAGCAGTGTTTTTACAGAGAAGCACTAGTCTAGGATCAGAAGCTTTGGATACTTGGTCATACTTCACTAGCATTAGTTAAATTTCTGGCGCAAAGCTACCAAAGATGCTAAAGCAGCTACAGCGGAGCCGGCCACTATAAATAAGCTCGTTACCTAAGTAGCCAGGCAGTAAAGGCTTCAAGAATGTTGTAGTCTCACTTTATAAGGGAGTGAAGGCATTTGGTTTGACTGTAAAAGATGTCTAGAATTCTCTTGTTTCAGGCGTGTCAGCTTAGAAGGTCCTAGGGAATGTTTGAGATTATGCAAAAGATATAAAGAATTTTTCAAACAGGAGACTTTACAGGCAGCCCTTCCCTACAATTACTTAAGACTTGACCCTGACCAGCTTCAGATGCTGTATGCATCTTTTGCTAAGTATCTTCTGATCCCATCCCCAGGAACCACCTCCAGCAGCAATACAGTGGTTGCCGGCCAAGACAGTTTCCCAGATGCTGAAGAGAACAAGATATTGAAAGAATCTGATGAAAGGTTGGCGCACAAAGTTGGCTTAATATCCTGTATAACTCTCAGCGGTCCCATGTACAAAAGCACCAACACAAGTTTGTGAGGTTTCCTAAGCTAAATTACACACGCTAGGGCTGGGGATTTAGCTCAGTGGCAAAGCGCCTGTCTGGTAAGCGCAAGGTCATGAGTTCGGTTCCCAGTACCGGAGAAACACCCCCCCCAAAAAATAAATAAATAAATAAATAAATAAATTACACACGCTGAAATGCTTCCATATTCTTAGAAAATAAACTGACTTTCCAACTCTGCCCTATATATCCCTAAAGTTAACAGTATTTTTCTGTACAAAGTCAGAGAAAAGAAAGACAAAGAGGGCTTCCATTATGGTGCCTGAATCTCACTTGCCCCAGGGCTTCAAAAACACACTAATTATTTTGCTAGTGGGCAAAGACTCTCTGGAACTAGAAGGGATTTGTCAAGTGAAATGTCCAGATCTGATTATTGAATACTTTCTTAGAGAGTAGTTGTCCTCAGGTAAGTTCTATGAAACATTGTGTTAGTCAGCTTCCTGTTACTCTGAAGAAATACCTGATACCGTCTAACTTGCCGGGGGAATAAGTTTGTTGTCTGACATTTTTGGAGACTGGAAATCCAAAATGTGTGGTCTGGGAAAGCAGCCGCCTCTACCCCAAGCTGAATTCACACCACATGGGAATATGTCTGTCTGTCTGTCTGCTGTCTCTGTCTTCTTACAGAGCTACAGGATTCAATCATGGAGCTTCACCCTAATGACCTTATCTAATCCAATCACTTTCCAAAGGCCCTGCCTCTAAGCATAATAGTGGGATTAAGGTTGCACCCTCTTAATACCATTCACATAAGATTTAGGGGATTAAACTCCTGCATGAAATTGGGGAAACAACCATACTGAAAGCACCACCATCATCATTCCTACTTTGCTTTTGTCTTGTCATGTCTCGGTTTACCAGAAACACCACGTATTGCTGCTATAGTCTCTTTTCCCTCCACATTCTCTCTACTGTGATGGTTCTCTCACCCGTGACCTTGTCTTCTCCTTGCTCTGAACCACGCATACGTAAATAAAATCTGAATCCCTCTTTCCCGCAGTTCATTATGAAGAATGGGGACCTACAGCAGGAGAGATAAACAGGAGACTCAGATTAAAAAATAATTAGGATGATCCTCCTTCAATTTAGCACTGTATAGTGAAAAATAATAAGCCTTTTCACTTGAGAAATTACTAACAAAGATGAGACGCTCTCCAATTCATGTGGAGAAAATGTAATGAATCAAATAATGAAAATGATTCATTTAGCCAGAAGTGCCCCAGGATGCTTCCCAGCTGTTCTCAGGGTTTCATCCTGAGCCCCAAAACAGTAGGGCTGACGTGTAGGGTTCCCTGACAGTAGAGCCACTGCCTCCAGAGTTAATGCTAACCTATCCCTGAGGACCCTAGACAAAAAAACAAGAAAAATAGAGCAAATTTTATAACTTTTGTTAGGTTTTCTTAAAAAAAAAAAGTAATTCATTAACAATCACTAATAAGAAACTCCCCTTGAACTCTGAGGACTTAGCAAAATGAGTACGTATTTTTATAGAATTAGAATTTATACGAATATTTCAGATATGCAGAAATGGTCTTCATAAATATTTTAATGCAGCCACCACCCTTAATAAAGCCAATCTTATAAATCTGTGGTTTCATGAATGGAGTTTTTATAGGCAGCCATGATAGTTTGGATCTAGAATGACGCCCAGAGCTCACATGTTGCAGGCTGGGTCCCCGCACAGCGGGGATCCTGAGGGCTCTCATTCTATCGGTGCCCTGATCCTTTGTGAGATCAGAACTTGAGAGCTGTGTTGGGAGATGATGGAAACTGGGCGGGGCTTGTTGAAGGGAGTGGACATAAGCGTGGGTACCATACCTTGCTCCTGGTCCCTTCCTGGCGGGGTCTCGCTTCCTCACTCTCTGCTTCCTGACTGCGGGGAAGTGAGCAGCCGTCTTCTGCCATGCCCGACAGCCGTACTGTCCCTGCCTTGCCAGAGACCTAAAAGCAATGTAGCCAGCCAAGCATGAACTGAAACTTAGTTTATAACCCTGTCGTGACAGGGATAGAGAGTAGAGAACGTGTTTCTAGATTGGTAGATTTTGGTAGATTGGTTCCTCTGAGGGGTTTTTGGTGCTGGGGATTGACCTCAGGGCCTTCTGCATCCTAAATGTGTACTCTACCACTGAGTTACACCCCAGTCCCAAGTGCTCATGCCAATACACATTAATATACTATTATATATTGTTAATACAGTCCCCTGAGCATTGATATGAACTATATCAGCGAGGTAAAATTTTAGAAAACATTTTATCTTTCTATTTTTTCTTTATCAGGCTATTTTCATGATTTACTCCTTAAGATATCAGCCTTTCATGTCAAAAGATTATCAACTTAATCCTTGAAATTCCTGTAGGACCCAAGCCCGAAATTAGTTTCTTCCACCTAAAAAGCAAAGAGTAATAACAGATTTTACTCTAGGGAGTCATTTTTTTACTTTTTCTTTGCCAAGTATACACTCTGCTAGACATGGTTTCAACCCTCCTCAGAACAAAAAGCGTCTAGAAGATTCTGCCCTCCCACTTCATCTCAGCTTCATATTCTCTGCCAAAGACTCCTTTAGATCTGCCTCAAAAAAAGAAAAAGGAAGAGCTGCCATCTCCTCCCCAGTGCTTCTGCACGGGGCCCCCATAGCACTATTTAAAGCCCTGCGTACTGTGTGCCGCAGTTCATGGGTACCCAGCGGCCGTAGGGAGCCGTCCACCTGACGGGGATCTCTAGATGGGAAATTCCTTCGTCCTTGCCTTTGTCCCTGAATGATGTCTGGGCCCAGCGTGCACTGTGTATAAATTCCAGTTATCAGCACAAATATGATTAAGGAACTTCTTCACAAGATAATGGGTGTGTCATTTCTCTAATTTAATAAGTATCGGTCTGATTTCGACTGTTTCATGGCCTATTTGGATGAAACTAAGCAGATACCCTAGATAGTCTATTATGTGGCTTCACAAAGTAATAGCCCAAAAGACAATGAAGAATGTTTGAAATTAATGGGGACTTTATGACAATGGGGGCGTTGCAAATATCTACAAAGTGGAGAAGAGCAAAGTCTGTTGTATTTCTATACTATAATCCATTCCAACCTTCTCATGCAATGTTTTGAGGTTTTACACTGGGGCGATGTAGGCATCTGAGTGCCACATAAGAATGTTTTCCTGATATCTTACTCTTTCTCCACACACTTGTGATAGCTACACCCTGCATCTTCCCGAGTTCCAGAAATAAAGTGTTAATCTGTTTTTAATGAGATCAGTTCACCCAGTCAGGAATGTAGGGGCATACCTATTGGAGCTTGAGTTCTCTGATATTTTTAGATAACCTTATATAATGTCTAGGGAGGAGAGAATGCCACGCCATCCCATTGCTCTGTTCCAGGTGATCCTAAACCCAGTGTCAGTAAGAGAACTAAAGGAGCAGAGTTTAAAATAAAAGCAGAGGGGCTGGGGATTTAGCTCAGTGGCAAAAGCGCCTGCCTGGCAAGCGCAAGGTCAGGAGTTCAGTTCCTGGTACCGGAGAAAAACCAAAAAAAAATAAATAAATAAATAAAATAAAATAAAAGCAGACACTTTATTTGCAAGTGGGGAAAGGGGAGGAGGAAGAGATCACGGCCTGCGCGTGGGCTGCTCTACACAAGCAGGGAGTATTCGAAAGGGAGATACTCATGGATCTCTTGTCTGCAGCTCCTTCTATTGGATTCCTTCTCCCTGTGGAGGCTCCTGGAGTCCGCGTGGCTCCCTCGCTGTGTCTGGTCCTCCCCTTGGACTTCTTCTGGTCATATGAGCATTCCTGTTGTTTGGTGGAGGCTGATTACGGTTGGGGGTTTAGGGGGAGAGGTAGTTTAGGGTGAAGGATTAAGTAAAGGGGCTTATTTTAGTCACACTACCTGGGACTTCCCTGAGCTTAATTTCTTTGCCTTTGTCTTTCTGATTGCTTGAGCCTAATCTGCAGAGGCAGAGGCAGCCTCTAAGCCACCTTACTCCACCTAATGGAGTAAGTCTCTCCATTAACTTTTAAAATTTAATGAGACCTTCATCCTACCTTTTTCCTACCCTCAGGACCTCCTGTCCCTACTTTTAGTTCTTTTCTTTGACTATATATATATACTTGGTGGATAAAACCTGCTGTGTATCACTTTATGTAAAATAAATATAGAATACCATTTCAGCCCGAGGTGTGGCTCAGTGATAGAGTATTTGCCTGACATGAGTGAGACCCTGGGTTCTGTCCCAGCACAGCCAAAAAAATCAAACAAACGTTTTCACATCATTTCTCTTGGTTCCCCACACCAAGCCCCGTAAAATAAAAGATGAAGTATCATTATTATTCCATCTTGGCAGTTGTGGAAACAGGGTTTTCCAGTGAGATTAAAAGTCTTGGTCACTGTCATGGAGCTAGTGAATTAAAGCTCAGTCTTTTTTATTTTAATACATTTTAATTATTAATTGGCACATAGTACTTGTATGTGCATACAGGGTACAGCGTGCTGTTTCAATATGTGTACACACTGTGTAGCAGTCAGATCAGACAGCCAATCACATCCATCACCTCAGATTTTAAGAACTTACTCTTAAAATCGTGTTTCTGCTCCCTCAGAGATAGGATAAACCAAAACTGTTCCTGCCCGGCCACCTACTTACCTGTAGTTGACACTAGACACATTGTATGACTTCAGCCACAGTTTCCTCATTTGTAAAGCAAATAATGGGGCTGGGGATTTAGCTCAGAGGCACAGCACCTGCCTGGCAAGCGCAAAGTCGTGAGTTCGGTTCCCGGTACCAGAAAAAAAAAAAAAAGAAAAACACTCCTCTAAAGCAAATAATACTCATCTCAAAAGTGAGTGTACCACAGTAAGTTAGATAATGTGTGTGAAGTTAGTATCATCAACTTTAATAAGCCACTAGAGAGGACAGACCAAAGAAGAGCTTCTCTGATCATATGATTATGTCATAACTGGAACCTTTTCCTGGACATTGTCAGGCTGTGTTTTGGGAAACCTTCAAGTGGGTATAACCCAAGATGTGTGATAAAGCTATTTTGTTTATTTCTGATTCCTCCCACTTTCATTTGCTCAGTCATTCAGCAAATATTACTGAATGCCTACTTGTTACCATGCTCTGTAAGTAATGAAATCATATTATTCAACATCTTGCCCATTTCTTTCCAAAGCATGTTTTACAGTGTTTTTTTAAAAATTTAATTAATATGTTAGCCTTAAAATTGTTATCTCTTCAAGTTTGGACTTTTTCATCAAGGGAGGGTCTAGCCCTCTCAAGGGAAAAAGAAATGTTTTCAGTGCAATTATTATACTAATTATTATACTCTTCCTAAAGCACCATCACTAGAACTAACTATTGAAAAATCAGCTGCTAAACAATAGTATCTACTTATGAGCACCGGCATGACTAAATACAAGTTACTATTTCATGATGGTTGTTCTTGTATTCCAAGGTTCAGTAATGTTATCAGAGCCCACACCCGCCTGGAATCAAGATACAGCAATAGCTCTGGAGGATCATATGATGAGGATAAAAGTAAGTATCAATGGGCTGTGGTTTTCAAACAGAACTGAGATAGCTGGAGATGGGAAAATAAATACTTTGATTATCCTTAATCTGATTACTAAAAAGTCCCCATAATATGAAGTAACCATTTAATTCAACTGTGCAGCTGAACATAGTCACCATAATTTTCTTTAAAAACCCAGAGCAGACAGATCAGAGTTATAAAAATTCAAACTACTACCCAGTCCCTTATTTTCATATTCTTGGCCTTTTTCCCTGGTGATGCAGAGTTGAAGAAAGGCTAGTAAATTATCCCATTAGAAAATAAATGTTACAAGCCAGGTGTGGTGGCACACTCCTGTAATCCCAGCACTTGAGAGGCTGAGGCAGGAGGATCCTTGCGAGTTCGAGGCCAGCCTAAGCTACAGAGTGAGCTCAAGGTCAGCCTGAGCTGCATAGCCTGACTGTGTTACAGTCTAGCTTTTCTTTCTACCTTGAGAGTGGATTGAAATTGGAATCCTGGTGAGTGCACTCACCCAGTATGGGATCTGATTTCACAGTGAATCTCTCAGTGGTTTAAAGCTAACTGTAGAAAACCAAATTTAAGTCACCTTAATCCTTTTTAGCACATTTTTGCTGATTGAATATGTACCTGAGAATATCAAAGAATAGTATATTGTTTCCTAACAGAAATCTCATGATTTAAAAAATTCTTTAATAGTCTTCTCTTTTTGTTCCCCTTTAAACTTTTATTAAATAGTGGTTAATTACTTCAGGTGTACATTTTGCAGTTAACTGATCCTGGACAGCCATCCAAGAAGTTAATTTGCTGCATATGAGTAACTCATGAGAATTAGAACTAAGATGAGTCAGTAGTACTCTGCTTAAATTGTTTTCTGTGCTAAAATGGTTGTGAGCAATCTTCAAGGCAGAAAACTGTAATGGCGAACTTCTCAGAGATGGGTGCCCAAACTGCACCTCAGAACCCACTTATTAATCACAAGCTGCCAACACTGCAGTTAAACCTGAAAACTGAGATTTTAGTTTAGAAAAAACAACTCACACATTAACATCTTTTGCCTTAAAAGAAAAGCACAATAACACGTGTGCCATATGTTCACCACCACTGGTGTGGAATGGTGCTGGTGAGTCGGGAAGACCAGTGGCACTGCGTCTTCTACAATCATGACCATGTAGTGACCTGTTGGTCAGAGACACACCCCATAAACAACGGAGAGCATAGTACACACCTTCAGTGTGGGGTAGGCTGTACCATCCGGGGTTGTGGGAATACACTCTGTGATGTTCACACATCACCACCCAGTGACACATTTCTGCTGCCTTTCAGAAGTACAATCAAAAAAAGCTATACAAAGATAACATGATACATCTTTCCTCTTAATACATTAAACCTATCTCAGAATTAAAGCAGCTCTGAAATCGGACGTCTGAGTGGTACCACATGGCCCCCAGTGGAAGTGCTTGTCTTGAATGCCAAGGGCCTATATTGAAAGCACTACAAGAAGTAATTCCAGGAAACTTGTCTTTGTGCTTACCTGAAAGATATTGTTGATAAAATCTATTCATTCATCAAATATTTATTGATCTCTTACTACCTGCAGACACTGTTGTAAGGACAAGGGAAATACCAGGGAACAAAATAGAGAAGGAAGTCCCCACTGTGCAGGAACATACATTAGACTGAGGGAGCAGACCCCTGAGGCAGAAATCTGAGGCAGGATGAAGGGTAAAGAGTAACTGAGGTGGGGGCGGACTTAAACAGAGCAGTCAGGGAAATCCGCTGTTCTGAGGTGGTATTTGGGCAGAGAACCGAATAAAATCAAGAGCTGTGTGGGGAAGAGCGTTCCAGCCGTAGGGAACAGTCAGTGTGAAGATTCTAAGTCTGGGCAGAGGCAGGCCTGGTTGCAAAATGCAAGAAAACCAGGATGACCAGGGTAAATCTTGCAAAGTCATAAGGTCACGATGTAGATTTGGGGTTTCATTTTCAGTATAAAGGGGAGCCACTGGCAATTGCTAAATAGTCACCAGGGAGATGTCATGACAATTGTCTTAAAAGGATCGCTCAGGCCGCGCTGTGGAACAGAGCATAAAGGGACAAGGATGGAAGCAGGGAGACAGCAGGGCCGCTGCAGGAGGTGGGTGGCATAGACTCAACAGCAGCAGTGGGGCTGGGGAAAGTGGCCAAAGCTGGATGTGTTTTGAAGGCACAAATACTCGGAATTTGTTCGTAATAATTAACTTCTGTTTCCCCTTGATAAAATAGGGGTGGTGATAGGTACCTATTTTTGGACTGTTAATACATGTATGTATTGAACAGTACCTGATGTAGGAAGCCCTCATTGCTTCCTAGTGTTGTTACTTTTAGTGTTTATTACTATTGTCATGATAGTAGGTTGGATTGGGATGTGGCAGAGAAGTCAGGGTGTCTCTAAGGCTCTCACCCTAAGGAAACGAAATAAGGCGTTTCAACATGATGGAGAAGAAGAAAAAGTTTTCATCGTGTGGGACTTCACATCAGATTTTCTTTTTATCTGTATTTTTCTTTGCTCTAATAATGAATAATTATAAATGAGTTACACAAGTAATAGCTCGTCAAGTAATTACCTAATGAAGGAATTCCAAGGCACTTGATCATGTAATTCATATTCACCAAATTGAGCAATTAGAAAGTTATTTTTATAAGCATGCATTTGTAAGATTCTTTCTAAAAACACGAAGTAGGGAAAATAAAAATCTCCTCCAAAAAGTAAACCATCGCTGTTTTTCTCACCCAACAGATGACCCCATCTCTCCCTACACGGGCTGGTTGTTGACGATTACAGAGACCAAACAGCCGCAACCCTTACCAATGCCCTGTACTGGAGGGTGCTGGGCCCCCCTGGTTGACTATCTGCCAGAGACCATCACACCTCGGGGGCCACTCCACAGGTGAGCAGCATGTATGAGGGGATGACAGCTTAGCTTTGGCTGGACCTCTGTATGATGAAAGGGAAACCTGTTCCAGGTCTCACCAAATGAAATAACTTAAGCCAGTGGAACCACGCCTGACTCCAGTGGCAGCTCCCAGCATTTTAGCAGTTTGGTCAAATGTTAACCAATGGGCAGAGCTATCTTGTGGCCCTTTGAATTTTTCTTTGATATAACCTTAATATGGGTGTGCATTCTGTGATGGTTTTTAGACAGTGCGTGACTTGAAGAAAGAGACTTACCTTCAGTTACCTTCGTCCTTCAGCTTTTAGTATCTTTGTGGCCACTCGGCTGTCTATTATGTAATGAGCTTTCCTCCTGTGTCGCTCTGTGTTGTCAGAAATTAAACTCAGTTTCTGTGGAATGAATCTGAACATAATTCTTCAGTAAGCCTTAACAGTTGTATTTTTAGCTGTGACTCCGTGATCTACGGCTGTGTTCCTGTCCTCATCAGAAGTTGCATTAGTTTTATAATCTCGTTGATTAGGTGCAATATTGCTGTGATCTTTATGACGGAGATGGTGGTGGATCACAGTGTAAGAGAAGACTGGGCTCTGCATCTACCCTTGTTACTTCATGCTGTCTTCTTAGGTAAGACCAAATCTAAGCGGAATTTGAGCCAACAGAGGCATAAACGAGGAGTTACTTCATAAGATTTCCTGTTACATTTCTTCCCATTTTACGTTGCTATCAGTGGTCCTCATTTCTGAAATCCTTCATCTCTTCCACTATGAGTTGACTTCTGGTCACCTCTGTTCTACAGAATTTCATTGGATTAGTCATGTCTGAGATCATATTTCTGTAGTATTATAAATAACAGTAATGATATACAGGATCTCTAAAGATACCCAAGTTAAGATGGGCTGTTTTGAGGATCCTTGACTGAAGAAATAAATGTAAAGCCCTGAGACATGATCAGTACAGAAAGCAATACGGAGCACAGTTCTCAGTTTCAGATACCCAAACTGTACAGCAAACATGGGAAGAGGAGCCAGGTGGAAGACCCGTCAGAGGAGGCGAGTTATAGTGCTTCAGTAGCAAGGAGGTCCAGGGACGAGGACATCACAGGAAGAATGAATGTGAGCCATATCAAATGGTGTGGAAAGGTCGAGAAAAGTCACTCTACCAGCATTTCATGAGAACACTTTATTTAAGAAATAAAGCATTTTATTTTTCCTGAGCCCAACGTCTTTATGTTGGTAACCCAAACAATATCAAAGAAAACTAAACATTCTTTCAACATGTTCCTCCTGGGTATCTTCCAAGATATCTTTCTCACCCATGGAATCCAACTCAGCTTAACATTTGTTTATACTCAGACATTCCACTGTTTTGTTCCAGGTTTGGACCATTACCGGCCTGAAGTCTTTGAACACAGCAAAAAGTTGCTCCTTCACCTCCTGATTGCCCTGTCTTGCAACAGCAGCTTCCATACTATCGCCTCGGTACTCTTGCAGACCCGGGAGATGAGTGAAGCGAAGACTCTAACCGTCCAGCCAGCTTATCAACCAGAATATCTCTACACAGGTAACCAGAGAAGCGGTAGCAGGCAGCCTGGGACAGAGCCCCAGATGGGAAGATGACTGGGGGTGTCAGTGGAACCCAAGTTAACCTCTGTCATGCTTTCCAAGGGATAAAGTAATAGCACAGTAAACATGTACCGTTGCATTTGATATGAACTTGCTTCTGAAGAGCTTTTCTCACGATTGGCTATTTTCAGATATGTTTTTTTCCTTGTTATAATCGTTGTCCTATATTAGTGCATTGAAACTGAAATTTTCACTGGTGAAGATCCTCGGTCCAGAGCACTGCAGAACGAGAGAGCAAGAGAGCAATTCAGACTCCCCTGCCTGAGAGCAGGCGAGAGTCAGGGTGCATGTCCTCAGTCTGCGCCTTCTAGTTCCCCTGAAGGGATTTTCACATAATGGAATGATTGACTGTTTTCTGGCAAACACCATTTAATGGGAGCCTATTAAAATTATGAATGTTTTAAAACCAGAAATTTCTTCTTAGGAATGGGGACAAAACGCATTGGATAAGTCAAAGAAATCACTGTGCATATGAAGCTATAGAAAGTGGCCGTTAGATTGTCACCATAGAAGTCATTGGTATAGCTCCTCACATAAACTTTCTTAAAAGGATTGGTCATGTGACTTTCATTTAGAATAATAACTTTTGAAATATCTTTTATTTTTCTTTTTCTTTTTTTCTTTTTTATTTTGAGACAGGACCTTGCTAAAAGTCACTAAGTTGTCCAGACTGGGCTCAAAATTGTGATCCTCCTGCCTCAGCCTCCCAGAGTGCTAGGATCACAGGCGTGTACCACCATACCCAGCTAATGTTTGAAATATTTTAAGGTGATAGTGACTGTTGCCAGCTCACAGAATTACTTTTTTACCTAATCATTTTACACATTATGTTTGCAGTAGAGATGGCACAACATTTCACATGTTACCAGGTACTTTATTACATTGAAAAGGGTGTGCCTTATATTTATTACTTCTGTTCGGCACTGTCTTGTCCTCTACCAGAGGTTAACTTCTTTTAGAAACAAATATGAAGTCATCATTCACTCTGACATGTAAAGCCCACTGACCTCAGTTGAAGCTCTTTATTTTGAGCCAAGCTATGCTTAACTGAAAGTAACTATCAGTAACCTTTGAGAAATACAAAACTCTATGATAGAAGACTTTGAAGAGTTTTAGTTGGGTGTTTGGGGCTTTTTTTGTTTGTTTGTTTTGTGTTTTTTTAGAGACAGAGTCTCACTATGTAATTCAAGTGGGCTTGAACTCACTATATACCCTAGATTGGCCACAAACTTGTGGTGATCCTCCTGCCTCAGCCTCCCGAGTGCTGGGATTACAGGCATGTGCTACCACACCGTTTTTTTGGTTTTTTTGTTTCGTTTTGTTTTGAGTTCTAGCTGTTTGAACTCCTGAGAACATGGATGTACGTTTATGTTGAGAAAATGTCAAGTCTTTCTAAGTGTATTGGTTTTGCATTAACTATACCACTGGTGTACTAGAAAATGATTTAGAGAAGGGATTTACCACAAAAATGTACAGTGTGCATAGGCAAGACAAACAACAGCTAAAATTATTGAATCTGTCACACACAGGAATAGGTTTACAGATGATGGAAAATGTCCCCTCTTTGTAAACAGTTATTGAACATTTGGTTTCAACTGTAGATGTTTTAAAATACACATGAGAAATCTGTGTGATGAAGATTATTATTCTCACATTATAATAGGAAGCTAAGGCACAAAGAATTACAAAGACTCTGAAATTACACGGTAAGCAGCAGAGAAGCTATTCTAACCCATGGTTCCTCACTCCTAATTCGACACATTTGTCAGACACACCACTACTATGCACTTTTTGTGATTGCTACAAAGAAGAGAGGTGGTCACCTGTATACATTTTCACACCCACAGCATAGTCAAAGATGTAGAATGTTAACAAAATACAGTATGCAATGAAAAAATAGTATCAATTAAAATATATTACTATGGGGCTGGACATATCACTCAGTGGTAGAGCTCCACTACTTTTTTTGAATAAAAAGGCCCTGTGTTCAATTCATATATGTTTATGTGTGATATATTACGTTATATATATATATATGTCACATATGTCTTATACACGCATGCATGTTATTTGTGTATATACACATGCACATGCATAATATTTAAACTTCTAGGCACAGTTAATCAAAAACATCAAATATAACTTTCTCATCAGTCAGTGTTTTTAAAATGAGTACCCTAGCCAGGCATGGTGGCTCACACCTGTACTCCCAGTACTTGAGAGGCTGAGGCAGGAGTATCACCATGAGTCTGAGGCCTAAACTACATAGCAAGGCTCTGTCTCACAAAAAAAAAAAAAAAAAGAGTACTCTAATCCCCAAGAGTAACTGGCTAACTATACCGTTAGTGGTTGACCCGTCAGAGTGGAACTGTGTCTTGGCCTGGCCTTTGTATGCATGGAATACATACATACCTCTCCTTTGTGAAAGCATCAGCTAAAACCAAGAGTGAAAAACATCCACTCACTGTCCCAGACACTGGTTTACCCTGCAGTGCAACTGACTCCACAAGCGGAGAAAACCTATCAGTCTTGTTTAATCATGACAATACCCAAGTGTAGTGTTTTCTCCCCAAAATATGTGTCCATCTCCAGGCCACATTAAGCACACTGACGACCACCCTACCTAGCGCATCCCATCTGAACCTTCCCCTCCTCCCTACAGGTGGCTTCGACTTCCTGAGAGAGGACCAGTCCTCCCCAGTGCCAGACTCAGGGCTGAGCTCCAGTTCCACCTCCTCCAGTATTAGCCTGGGAGGCAGCAGTGGGAACCTCCCGCAGATGACCCAGGAGGTGGAAGATGTGGACACAGCCGCCGAGACAGATGAGAAGGCCAACAAGCTCATTGAGTTTCTCACAACCAGGTAATGAAGATTAGAAGTCATGATGCTGCTTTTGAAAAAATGCCTACAGTTCAGCCACGCAGATGGCGCGGTGATCCTAGAGTTCTAACAGGTCCTGGGTTCTAAATTGCAGCTGCTGGGGGTCCGCGTAAAAGGCAGACCCTGGTACACGTCTCAGATCCCACAGATGCGGTGGTTGGTGGGCAGGGGAATTCTGGGTGTAACAGTGATGTAGCAGATGGAGGCCCTGGCACCCTGCCATGAGTGTGACTTCCTTCATCTGTTAGAGCTGCCAGGACCTGGGAGTTCTGAGCCTTGGCAAAGAGCTTTCCCCTGGAAACCAAGGATATCAGCCACAATCAGCGCAAAAGCAGCTGCTAAGGGGACCACTGTCTGTTCAAAGAGCCATTTGTAATTGAGAGTCAGAAACTAGAAATAGTAGGAAACTGGATGAAAATGTCCCTCTGAGAAGGAATGTCAAACTAATCACACCTCAGAATCAAGGAAAACCACAAGCCGTCCTGTCTTTTCAAGTCTTCTAGTTCTAATGAATCATGTCGCTGTTAAGGCTTCAGAATTTCTAGCACCCTGAGGACCAGGATTTGTAAAAGGCATGCATCCCTGGAGGTTTGCTTTCCTTTTTTAGTGAACTAAGTCCTGGACATTTACTTTGCACACATGTTATACAATATCTTGCATGATCTTTCTTTTTTAACTAATGCATCATTGAATGCAAACAGTGCAAAGGGAGCATTTTCTTTCCTCAATCAATAACTCATGATTCTGCAGCGCTCCCAGCTGAAAGTGGGGTTTCCCGTACAGGAAGCTTAGGAAGAGAGCCGACAGTGCCTGAGCGCGGGCTGTGTGCACGTACGAGGTGCTGTGGAGACCTGGATGTTCGTAGAAGGCAGACTGACCACCTAATACCACATGTTGAGAAGGGTCCTTCTCGGAAATTCTCTCACCTGGCTGCCTCTCATTCTCACTGCTAAAAACCAAGTAGACAAGAGAAGTCATGTTGTCAGTTTCATTCCGTGGTATTTGGTAACTTGATGTGATCCTGACAAAATCCTCATGTCTACAAATGCTAAGGTGTGAGCAGAGAGTTTGTGTCTAAATAAGTATCTTATTTAACATTTTCTGTCACTTATTTAACAAAGACAATATAGCACTTCCAGTGTGCCAAACACTGTCTGGTAAAAAAGATTTTAACTTTTTAAATAAATCTAACTTGAAATAGAAAATGTATGTCTCCATAAATTAGCTAGGTGTGTTTTGCGTATGCTCTAAAACTTTATGAGACTGAAGTATATCCCCTAATTAATTAAAATTCACCATATATATTACCCTCTGAGTCAGAACTTCATATTTGGCTTTCAAAATGTAAAACAACAACTATATGTTTGACATTTTATGTTTTGTTTAAGGGCATTTGGTCCGCTTTGGTGCCATGAAGACATCACACCCAAAAATCAAAATTCAAAGAGTGCTGAACAACTGACTAATTTTCTACGTCATGTTGTGTCTGTGTTTAAAGATTCCAAATCAGGTATTTATCCTATTTGTCTTCTTCCTTTTTCAGCATTTTTAATGTTGCTCTCTCCATTATGATAATATATCTGATAACGTGGTCCTGACACAAAATACCTATGGCCTAAGTGTATTCACAGGAGAGTTTCGATGCTTATTTCAAATGCTGCCAAGCAGAATGATGGTGAATGCCTTCTATATTTGCATTGTGCTACCAAGCAAGGTTTCCTCAACCTTGCTTGTTCTTTTTGCTTCTTTTACTTTATTACAGTTAAATTGTAACCATGATATTAATTTTATCTAGAGAAATTGCTGAGGCAGAAAGAAAATAAATTCAACACCAGCCTAAGCAACTTAGCAAAACCCTGTCTCAAAAATTTAAAAAATAAATAAATAAAGAGCTGGAGGTGTAGTTCAGTGCAAAGGTCCTGCATATAATCCCCAGTTTTATATATATATCCATGAGATATACATCTTGCTAACTATCATCAATATCAACAAGAAAAAATGGTCAGCCTATTTAAGTGGATGGTTAAAATGGTTATACTTGTTTTTAAAAAGAAACAGAATTGGAATTGGAAATGTAATTCAGTGGTAAAGTGGTTGCCTAGTATGTGTTCTACCCTAGATTCAGTCCTCAGAACCTCAAAATTTTTTTTGATTAAATGGTTTTGGTTTTAAGATTGATGCTATCAAGCTAGGCATGGTGGCACACAACTGTGATTCCAGCATTCTGAGACATGATGCAGAATTGCTAGTTCAAGGCCAGCTTGGGCAACTTGGTAAGACCCTATCTCAAAAATAAAAAACACCTAGGGATGTAGCTCAGGGGAAAGGCCCTGAGTTCCATCCCCACACCCACACCCCCCACAAAAAAGAAAGTTTACTAACCATTCCTGTACAGGTGACCCTGAAATATTCTGAACATAGAAGGATTCCCATGTAGGCTACAGTAGCATTATAATTTTTTTTTTCTGGTACCAGGAATCGAACTCACGACCTTGTGCTTGCCAGGCAGACCCTATGCCGCTGAGCTAAATCCCCAGCCCCTACAGTAGTACTATAATATTTAAATGTTTGCCGACAGTTGAATTCCTTTTATATCCAACTTGGCCCGGCTGACTTATGTGCAAAATTTAAACTCATTTCCTCAACATGATGTAAAAACTTGTCTCCGCTTTTTTTCTCTCACCAGCCTGGCAATACTGAATCTAGCTCTCTGGCTTTCCCAGCTGCGCTGATGGTTAACATATTTCCAGTTGAAATATTCTGGATTAGCCGTGTCTCTGCATTATCAGAGTTGCCTACTAAAATCCAGCAAATATGATAAACTGAAATGGGAGAGTCCCTCCAGGAATAGGAGTGCTACTTCTTGTTTGAAGTTTCCTCTGGGAGTTCCTTTGAACTATTAAGACCTCAAAAATCACTTAATAACTGAACACAGCCCACATGGCAAAATTTAGTATTTGTATGTGAGCCATTAATTTGTCTAAAACCTTTGAGGTAGGAAGACAGTAAGAAAATATATGCATTTCTTATACTGAATCCTTAGTGCACTTCACATCTAAGTCTTTGCACATCCTGATCAAGCTATTTTTGCGCACTGTTTTCTCATGCATCCTGTGTCAGCCTGGTTTTGCTACATACACGCTCTGTGTTTCTGTGCATGAGTCAGGATAGCATACGTGCGCCAGGGCGCACAGGCTTAACACGGTGGAGGGTGTTCCTGGGTCACATAGCACGTCAGTGTGACTTTCTACGGGGCGCTTTAGGGACCCTGTAGCATGTGGCTCTGCCACCCGTTGGCTCAGGGCTCTCCTGAGCCCTCTGCATCCAGCCCCTGGGTGGACACAGAATGTGAGGGGAGGAGAGCTCAGGATTAGCTGACAGGCCCCGCTGAATGGGGCATCCAGGTTCCCTCCCGCATTCCACTGGCATTTGGCCACACCTAACCGCAAGGAATACTGGAAGATGAGGATTCACTGTGTGGCCAGTAAGAAGAAACCTTTTTCCTTTCCTAAAGGACGTTGTCATAGTGATGATGGGGTTCTTGCCTTCAGGTTCATTATGATTTTAAATAAGCGTTTGCTTATAACCAGAGGAGCTCACCCCCTCATATAAAATGGGTTAAGAGGTCAAGTTGAAAGTTACACACATAAAAAAAGAAACATGATTTTTGACTTGCAAGTTGCAAACTGCCTGTAAGGGTTTAATCCTAAATTTCTGAATATATGCAAGTCCACTTTTCCGGCTCATGTGTTAGCTCTGCAGGGACATTTTCTCATGAAGTGTACTTGTGCCACGAGTCCAATGGCCAAACCACAGGTAAGAGCAGTGACTTGAATTATTCCTGTGTACTTGCTTTCAAGTGACAGCCACACGTGTCATAGAGCCCTCTAGACCACAGGGAGAGCTAAAATCACTATTTTCATCGGGTCCTGAGGATCAAGGCAGAGGGGAAGAGTAGCAAGTATACAATTTCATGACTCAGCATGGAGTCAGGAGCTTTATCTTGCATTTTTGTTCCTATCAGATCAAATGGCCTTCTGATGTCTGAGATTACATATATTCACTGGGAGAGCAAATAAATATTCAGGTGCAAGTTTAAATTGTAGTCGGACGTGGTGGCGCATGCCTTTAATCCCAGCACTCTGGAGGCTGAGGCAAGAGGATCCTTGCAAGCTTGAGACCAGCCTGGGCTACAAAGTGAGCTCAAGTCCAGCCTGAACAGTGTAGGGAGATCCTTTCTTAAAAACGAAAAAGTTTCAATTGTGCTATCTTTGCTGTGCATGCATGTCAATCTCTGCATATTTACAGAACAAAGACTGTTGCAGGCCTTAGTTGTGTTTAGAGTTGACTGGGTCCACTAACAGCTCCTTTCTCTACTTTGCAAATGTGTTTCTAACCAACTGTTTTTTATTTAAAAAGGAGTAAAAAGATTCTGTTCAAAAAGGAGACAGAAAAGTAGAACAATAAATACATTTATGACCGCATATTCTGTACCATACACGGTACTGGGTACCTCGTAAGTTTTTTAATTCTTACAGTTCTGTGAGATAGATGCTGCTGTTGCAAATTAAAGAGAAAGAAACAGGATCTCAGACAACAAGTTTCTCAGAGTTACAAAGCCCCTAATTAAAAACCAGAAGCTTCTTGCACCAAAGTTTCTTCCTCTTTCAACTGCACTGTACCTACCCAACATTAATCCAAAATTTGTATTATTTTTAAATGGTTAATTTTTTAAATTTTGAGACAGAGTGTTGCTGTGTTGTCTAGGCTGGCCTCAGACTCCTGGGCCCACGCAATCCTCCTGCCTCAGCCTCTTGAGACGCTGAAACTATAGGTTCACTGCACTCCACCTGTTTTCAAATGGTTTATTTTTAAATAAGTACCACCACTGGGTATGTCTATGCTATGAGGCTGTTATTTTAAACATACAGGTGACTTTGATGCTCTCTTGCTCACCTGGCCCCAGGTTTCCATCTAGAGCAACACTTGAGTGAAGTTGCCCTGCAGACAGCCCTGGCCAGCTCTTCGAGGCACTACGCCGGTCGGTCCTTCCAGATATTCCGGGCTCTCAGGCAACCACTGTCAGCACACGCCCTGTCTGACCTCCTGTCGAGACTGGTAGAGGTGATTGGGGAGCACGGAGACGAGATTCAGGTATGGAAGGAAGAGCACAGAGCGCACCAAGGCCGTGGGCTCTCATTCCGAAGACGAGGCCTTAGCGGCTCTCTTTGGGTCTTCTTTCTCTCGCCGGTTATTTCACCCCTTGGAGTAATTTATCTTAAGAATTTCTAGAAGTTTTTACATTTCTAATCTCACTCCAGGGAATACTGTTCCAAAATCCAGTGGATGCGATTCTATTGTGTAAAACGAACAACTGAAAATTCTTTGGTGGCCTCTGCTTTGCTGTTTTCGTTGTTGGTCTTATTTGGCATGTGGGATGGGCTGTCTTGTTCAGGGGGGTTGGCCACCCGCCCGCCAGTGTGCAAACTCCACCCGGAGTAAGGGGCTGCACTGTACAAGGTATGACCAAAAGATACAGTGGACAGGTACATTCTTAAACGTTGTTGTAGGAGACACATCGCCATTAATCTCCCTCAAAATACTGCCGTCACTTCAAACACACTTACCCCATCCATCTTGCCACTTTTCTGAAGAGGTTCTGAAAGTTCTTTTTCATGAGTGTCTTTCTACACTGGTTTTTCTTTTAAATGGTGAGGGCCGCCCCTAAGTGCCATCCAACAGAAAGGGAACTGAAAGAAACATTACCCTGTATCCTCATCCACCTTACACACCACACCTGGCACCGCATGACTTCGGGCTCTTCCCCAAAGTCAAAATGACCATGACAGGCTTTGAATCAGTTCAGGGACTCGAAGCCACCAGGACAGCACACCTAATGCCACTCACAAAGAGGACTTCAGAACTACTTCAGAAAACATGTTCTGTTTGAGGGGATTCATGTCTTCTGTTACAGTACTTTTTCTCAATGCAAACATTCATTACATTGTTCGATCACATCTCATATATGCTCAAAGCACTGCCCTTCCCGGTACGGTCAGCCCTTAGTGGACTAAGAAGAGTTGAAGGCAGAATGGAGACAGTGGCTGCACAGGAAGACCCTGTAGGTGGATCCTAGAGATTGGGCAGCTGAGCAGGTTGAAAACTAAGGGCGCTGCAAGCTTTGTGGCTCCCACCAAGCCCTTTCGCCCACCAGACATGCTCCCACCTCACAGGAAGCCTGCACGCCCGTAGGCCCTACCTTTGTCTCCCCTCTCTGGCCATCAGAAGCGCCCATACAGTGCTACTGAGGCACAGCTCTTCACATGCCTCATCTTGTGATCTCTGTTTTCAGAATTTGTTGCTCTGCATGGAGTTGCCCACCCTCTTCCTCTGCAGGAAGCCATGCTTAACCCCCTGTTGAGGCTGTCAGGCCCAGGGAAATAATTCTTAGGATTACCTGCTAACTTCTAATGTGTCTGAATTTCCGAGGTGGCCCTTAATTAAAGCACTAACAACTGTCAAGTTTGCAGGGATATTAACATTATCGGAGTAAAGTTTACATTGATTAAATATGTATTCAGGAAGCTAACAGGGGCCCTACGCAGCACAAAGTGTTCTCTTTGCCCATTTCAAAGGGTTACGTAATGGAAGCACTCCTGACCTTGGAAGCTGCTGTGGACAACTTGTCTGACTGCCTGAAGAACAGTGATCTCTTAACCGTATTATCTCGGTAAGTAAATCAGATTTACTTCGCTGAATTACTTGGGAGATGCTAGAATTGGGGCAAAGTACAAAGCAGGAATCTAGCTTGTAAGGTATACTTATGACCTGAAAAATGCTGTATGAAATTTTCTTAAGTTTTTCAAAAAGGCAATTATAGCATACACATGTATACATCATGTATTTTAAAATATCAATGAGACAGACACCAAATGCCATGTCTAAATGACAAAAATATTAATGATTTTTCACTTTCTTTTTTATGGCCCTGAGTAGTTTTTGAAGATTTTATATAATAAGTATCCTACTTATTACATTGATAAACATAAACTAAAACTAAAAATTATTTTTAAATTAACATGTTCAAAACAGTTGGAATAAATGTTGACTTTACTTTAAAAATTCTTATCTTAGTGTCTTTGTTACATTTTTTTGCTCCTGCCACTATTTAATAATCCACTTCAAATTATTCATGATTCCACATTTATCTAATTGATTTCATGTTTATTGAAATTGAGTCAGTAAAGCTTAAAAGGCACATCCTTTGGGGCCTTGTTTCTTCTGTGGGAAGGTAATTTTTGTGTGACCACTAACGTCGTACATATTTATCTGTTTGAATCTGCAGATTTATCTAAATCGGTAAACATTTAACAAGAATGTTGATAAAGATATTTATCTCTTTAGCATGAGTAGACTTAGAAATCATTGACCAAACTTAGAAATCACTTTCCATAAACTTTAGTAGGCTTTTCAAAAGTCTTTGATGTATTTACTTTTCTCCTTCTAGATAATATCCTTTCCATTTCTGTTCAGATCAGCCATAATGTTAAAAGTTTGCACTTACTAAGTATATTTTATTTCATAATCATTCCTACCCAAATTCCACCAAAAAATAGGTGAAAGATCAGTGACCTGCTGGTTTCTTTAGGCTTTGAAGAAGTGGAGCCCAATACAGAATTAGTTTTTGTTTTTCTTTTGTTGGAGAAGGTTGTTCTTGTTAAGGTTTTTTGTTTTTTTTCTTAGCTTTATGTTTAAGAATAAGGAAAAAGAAACTAATAGTAATATTTCAAAAGAATGATTTCCTTCCTTCAGTGTTTCTCAGTGGATTTGAAAAGCTGGTTTTCCACTGAAGCCTGTTGGCATTCTGTTGAACTTACTTATTTTTATACTCAGCTCTTCATCACCAGATTTAAGCTCGAGCACCAAACTAACAGCAAGCCGAAAAAGCACAGGGCAACTAAATGTGAACCCTGGAGCTGCCAGTGGCAATACCACAACAGCAGAGAGGAGCCGCCATCAAAGAAGCTTCTCTGTGCCCAAGAAGTTTGGTGTTGTTGACCGATCCTCGGACCCACCTCGAAGTGCTACCCTAGACAGAATTCAGGCGTGTACCCAGCAGGGCCTCTCCTCCAAAACCAGAAGCTCCTCCTCCTTGAAGGACAGTCTCACAGACCCATCCCACATAAACCATCCGACCAATCTGTTGGCCACCATCTTCTGGGTTACGGTGGCCTTGATGGAGTCTGACTTTGAGTTCGAGTACCTGATGGCCTTACGGCTGCTGAATCGACTGTTGGCTCATATGCCACTGGATAAAGCTGAGAACCGAGAGAAACTTGAGAAACTCCAGGCACAGCTCAAGTGGGCTGACTTCTCAGGGTTGCAGCAGCTGCTGCTGAAGGGATTCACATCCCTTACCACCACTGACCTTACCCTGCAGCTTTTCAGCTTGCTGACACCAGTGTCCAAAGTATCCATGGTGGATTCATCACAAGCTATTGGTAAGGCCAACATCATTCACTCCTACGGTTCTAATGGTATCTGTGTTCATCTTTAAGGTAAAAAGATAATGTGGAGTTACTGCTTCGAACAGTTCTGCTTAGAAATGGATCTTTAGGAATAAGTTTTTCTTTTAAATTCTATACAGTGGGGTAGGACGTAGAGCTTAGTGGTAGAACACTTGCCAAGCATGCATGGAGCCCTGGGTTCCATCCCTACCCCTTCCCCAAATCTAGACAGTATATACCTTTCTTTGTATTCTGGAGGATATATCAAGACAATATTATAAAAGAGGCAGAAATTTTTTTTGAGTAGGAAAATCTACTAGGGAAAAGGAATGGGGAATAGGAATAGCTCCTGAGGGACAGGAGGAGTCCTGAACGGGTTGCCAATGAGCTCGCTTCTCAAAGGAAGTTTTATGGAGTAAAATCATGAAGCAGGTACAATGCGTGTCAAAGTAGTGACTTAATCAGTAATAAGATTGCAAGTAGAGTCACTTAGGTAATATTGATCCAATGTAGCAAGGGCATATGGGTGACATGATTAACCTTGGAAGATAATCTACAGTTTTAGTGTTGTCTTTAGTCTTAGTCTTGGTAGTCTTAGTTGTTTTAGTCTAAGTGGGTGGGAGAGGATGACCCACTTCCACCCCCTAATGAGATAATGGGAAATCTCAAAAGGATGTCACCAGTAATCTCAAGCTACTGTTTATGCCTTAGGGAAGTTTGTAAATCTAGCCATTGTGACTTTAGTCTTTTTCAGATGCACTTCCAGCCACAGCTTTGATGAGTTTTTACCTTCGGAACTAACTCCCTCCAGGGCCCAGCCCTATCTGATTGCCTACTATATTTCTACCTGACTTAGCTGTCTGTAATATTCCACCCTCTAAAATGATATTCCTTACTGTGGTTAGGGGAGAAGGGGCATAGTTTCCATCTAGCTGTTTCAAGTTGAGAAGGGTTGGGTAGACAAGACCACAGTCAGGCCTTCTTCAGAGAGCTAATCTAATGAGCCTTGAGTAGAAGTCATGTTAAGGTTAGCAGTTATGATAAATTCCCTTTACAAGTTGTCTAGGTTACTTTTCTCTCATTGCTGAGACGAAATATCTGACGTCCAAAATTAAGGAAGGAAAGGTTTATTTAGCTCACAGTGTGTGGTTTCAGTCCATACTTGGCTGGCTCCAAGGCAGAGCGGCACATGGCAGAGGGCAACAGTTTATGGTAGCAGAAAACACAAAAGCAACCAGAGCAAAAAGGGAGGAATGGCATAAAGCAAGCCTTTTTCCCTCCCTTATGTTGTATGCAAGCTACCCAACCCAGGGCAGGCATAGCACTCACACCCATAACCCCAGCATTGGATCATGAATCAATCAAAAGCTCTAGAAACTCCCCCATGACTCAAAGAGGCTCTGAGGGGACATCTAGACACAAACCATAACACAAGTCAATCTAGAGGGTCCGGGTAAAAGGAGTCAGGCACCTTTGTCATTGGTTCCATTTGCATGATCACTTGGAGTCTGGCAGCCTTTAGGCAACAAAAACCAAATTTTGCAGGAAGTTAAAGCATGTATACTCAAAGCATGAGCACTGGAATGGAAAAGCAGATTGGGTAAGGGGCCATGTCCTGAATCTGCTCTTAATGGACTAGAATAGTTGTACACTGTTGACTCTTAGACCCCTCTACTGATGGAGGTTATCTCTAAGTCGGGTATTTCCTGTGATAAGTCCCTCTAGTTTTAGCTATAAGAAGATGGAGAGGAGGAACTTAAAGGCTCTTGTTGAGCTTTTGTTGAATCCACTGTAGTTTTTCCAACCTTAATCAGCTATAACAGTGTTCAGCTGCTGGTGTAGCTGGAAACTGCCAGAAGCAATCAATGGTTGGAGCCCTTTTTTATATTAGCTTTTACTACTGTGCTATTGCTTTCACACATTGTTTGATTCTTTTTTCTGCTTGGTGTTTGAGTGAAAACAAGACCTGTGTTAATCAAAATTAACGTCTTCCTATCTGTCAATGTCAGTTCAGTCATTACTTTTGGAACCATGTACAGAGCCTCTCAGCTCTTCAGTCTCTTCAGTCATTACTTTTGGAACCATGTACAGAGCCTCTCAGCTCCCAGTCATTGTCGGCCACCAGGGTGGGTCACAGTCTTGCTTGACCATACTGCTTTCTATGACAGCATGGGAGACTTTCCCCTCTTTGGTGACCCTTATTTGGTACACTGTACATTTGTTGATTCCTGCTTTCTGGGCTCCGGCAATCTCCCTGTTCAGGAAGTTGGGTGACTGACCAAAGTTATAGGATCCTATAGAAAAGGTTCCTTCATGTCCTGGGTCCCTGTTGACCTTGGGCCAGGGCCAGAATATTGGCTATCTTCTCAGCCTGGTTATCTTTTCAGTTTTAGTCTCCAAACTTCAATTGTTGAACACCCAGAAGAGAAGATGAGTTACATCAGTATTGCAGAGGGAGCAGTGAGCTTAACTATTATAATCTCATCCAGACAAGTACTTTGAAATACAAAGTATAGTCAAAGGACTGTTACTCCTTACCAACAATGCTTGTTTTAGTAGTTGAATCCCTGTAGAATGTTAACAGACAAGTTATAGTTTTACAGAGAAAACTTGTGACGCAAAGCCACACACAGTTTTTCAGCATGATTACCATGATGACATTAGCTTTGCAGCCCACTTAAATCTCCACCTTAGGGTAGAATAGCATTTTTAGTCATACATCTCCACCTGATTGCAGGACATTAAGTAGCATAAAGAAACTCTCACCTAATTTGTTATCCTTCAATAGGATGCCATCCAAGGAGAATGCACCTGTCTAAATGTACCTTAGAGGTTTATAATGTTTAATTTCCATTTTTAGTGTATGACTTGTTTGAACTGCTCAGTGTCTGAGCATCTCTAAGTGTAGTGACACATTTATAATATACACATCCCATAAGTTTTTCCATATTGCTTTCTACACAATCATTTGACTAGTAGTCTCATGTTGGTTTGACATATACCTCTAATCACAAGTAGCTGGAGCACAAGAGAAAGGCAGATATCTGAGTCTAGAAAAGGGCTCTCATCATAAACAATCATAGTTTTATATCTTAGAAGAGCAATACACCTGGAAGCTATGAATACATTTAGTACACCATGAGATTAGCAATAATGAATGTCATAGCTATATGGAAACCTTTGTCTCTTAGTTTTGTGCCAAGAGCATCTTTTAATAAAACTTTATTGTTTTACCTACAGAAAACGTAATCTTTTGATGCTATCTTTGCAACATTTATTAGGATATCTCCCATAAGGCTGTGGAAATTATTGGGGTCCCATTAGTGAACAAAGACTGGAATAAAAACATTTCCAGGCATCTGCTCCTTTATTCACCAAGGGGAGTCCTGCCCAGCAGTTTCCCTAATCCTAAGAGGTCCCTATTTAATTATGTTAACAAAATTTCAGATCACATATGAGAACCATATCATAAAAATTAACCTGTTATTGTTGACCAATCAAAGACTCCCAAGTTACTGTAGATAGACGGCAGTATGCTTTGCATTTGTATAACCAGTCCTGACATCATTTTGATCAGCTGGTAGCCTGGGTGGGTGCATGTCCTTAAGTCTAATGATATTTATCTATAAACCAATTTAATTTATAGACAAATGTTTTAAAAACCTAGAAGGGGGGGCTGGGGATTTAGCTCAGCGGCAAAAGCGTCTGCCTGGCATGCGCAAGGTCGTGAGTTCGGTTCCCAGTACCGGAGAAAAACCAAAAAATAAAAATAAAATAAATAAAATAAAATAAAAAAATAAAAACCTAGAAGGGCAAAAAGAAGAAATAAAATTATTACACTCAAACAAAACAGCTGTAAGTATTGTAACCAGTCACAGATTTGAACAGACAGGCAGGTACATATAAGACAACTGTTCATAGACCAGCATGCACTCAGACGTACTTGGCCAGATTGAATTATAATAACTCTTTTACAGTTTTTAAGTTTGTAACTATAGACTAGTCAGAACTTTTTGTAGGTCAGTTAACAGAGGTCAATTGTAATAAGAATTAGAAGGAAAAAAGCCTTTCACACCTGTGAAAGCAAAGACAGTTTTTAAGATGGGCCCTAGGTTGATGGTTAATCTGATTGGAATATCTAACTCTATAGGCTTCTCATTGTTGTTTTCAGAGCCATAGTTGTTGGATAGTCACAGTTGATAGTCAAAACTGCTATTTGATAGCCACATGTAATTGTTTCCTCTAGAGGGGCCGACTACTAAAAGGTAATTTTAACTATGTCCAGTGGTGGGTACACAGGCCGGGTTTGGGTGTAGAAAGGGACTAGGTGGCACTGTCTGGAGCTAGTATGAATTTCAAACAGTGGGGGAAGAAGGCCTGCCAAGGCTCCACCCCATCCCCCTGCTGCAGATGTCTCCCTATGATAGTTTTCCCATTTTGCCTATGACCCTTGGACCATACTTAGTGATAGGCCTTCCTTTTTTAATAGCCTCAATTAGCATATCTCCAAGAATAGTGGCTGATCTGGCAAGATGTTATGGAGACAAATCATGATGAGAGAGGTAGCCCTCTAGGGACTAGGGCTGTGCCTATTTTTAATACCTGTTCTCATTTAAAACTGCTGTTAAACTCATAAGGTTCCCTAGGCATGTTTTGTCTTATCAAAGAACTTATCTGTGTTATAAAAACCAGTCAGCGTCATTCTTGAGGGGACAGAAAAGTTAAGAGGAGTTCATCTCTAGTAATGCCTAAGAGTTAAAAGGCAGGTAAACTTGGGCTAAAACTTTTGCAATTATTCTTTGGGGGTTTCAGGATTAAACCTAGACCAGTTTTTCTAGAATATGGCCCAGAGATTAGTCAAGGTCAGCTTACTCTGGAAGGGCCCCAGGGAGGGGAAACTCACCATTCTGGAAACTTGGTGCAGAAGTCCAGCAGCCGTAAAGAGAATTACCTTGGACCAAACACCGTTATAACCTGCATTATTTCTCAGGGGCAAGGCAGTGGAGAAGGGACAGAAGAGTGACTCCAAGTGTGGCCCAAGAAATAAATCCTAACCAGGTGCAGAGCGACAGTTAAGATCAAGGGCTTTCCCAGGTTGGGTCTCTGATCTTTAGTAAAGCATGTCTGTAGAGACAAAAGCTATGATTAACTCCAACTGCATTGCAAAAAAAAATAATGAAACCAATAATCAAAGAACCTGAATGGCTGCTTTAACCTTTTGAAAGAGAATGAGAAAAACTGAAAGCGTTCCAGTTATACTGTTTAGTACAGTACCCAGTTCAGTGTGGCTGCAAGTATGCCTCTCACAGCAGTCTGAAGGTTTGCAGTGGAAGCCTCTAAGGTCCCACAAGCGGCAGTTATTACCGATAACAGATTAGGAGTGAATCCTGCATGGACTGTTGGAAATCCGTCCTTCCATTCAGAATTGCAAGAGATTAGTCCAGGTGTGAGGGGCGCACACCTGTGATCCCACACTCACTAGGGAGGTGGAGGCCGGAGGATGACCTTGAGTAACTTTGAGCTCAAGGTCAGCCTCAACTTCAGACCTTACTTTCTAATAAATGACTTTGAATCAGAAAGTCCTAAAATCCCAGCCTGCAAAAGAGATTTATCACCTCTAGGGACAGAGAGGTAACAATCCAGAAGAAATCTCAGTCCTAGGACAAAGAGGTCTTCGGGACATTTTGGGTTCTCTATCTAGTCACTATGTAATTTCCCTCCACAGCAGTGCTGGTTAGGGTCTACTTAAACCCACTCTGAAAATATGTATCCCCAAGTATCTGTAATACACTTAAGAAACTCACAGATTAAAAGTCTGTACTCATTGCCTCTCATTAGAAGTCAATATTTGACGTAAGTGTAACATTACATCTCCTAGTCTAGTTTATAGGTCTGATTGAGTCCTCAAAAGCCTCAGTGTAACCGGGGATATAGCTCAGTGGCACAGCACCTGCCTGGCAAGTGCAAGGTCCTGAGTTCGATTCCCAGTACCAAAAAAAAAGACTTCAATGTAGCCAGGCATGGTGGTACACACCTGTAATCCCAGCACCCTGGGGGCCTGGGGCAGGAGGATTACAAGTTTGAGCCCAGTCTGGCCAACTTAGTAATTGGCAAGATTTTGTCTCAAAATGAAAAATAAAGTAGGGGAATATAGCATAGTGTGATGGCCCTGGGATAAATCCCTAGTACTTACCCCCACACACACCCTCAGGAAACTAGTTTTTTTATGCCTTCCAGATGATATTGCAGATGCTGTTAGTTAATCCCATTTTTCTTATACGTTTTCCCTTTTTTTCTTAATTGTCCAATTTTTACCTTTTCTTTGCTTTTTTTTTCCTCCTGAAAAGTGTGTTGGTTCCCTATTTTTTGAATTAAACCAAATCAGCAAATCAGATCTTTAATACCATGAGAAGTCACCCAGAATTCATGGGCTAGATTTTAACTTAGAGGTCCTGAGCCATTACTCATCATCTCGAGGAGTCTTTTTGATTATATGACTCAGATTTAAATTACTTGGCTTATGTCCTCTCATATCAGTTTTTCTTAAAATGTGCTTTTTGATAAAAATTTCAAACTACTGCTTCAATTCACTTCAGTCTGTACCAATAAAATATGTGCCGGTCATCCTTATTCACAAACCATACCAAGATGACCCCTGTATGTTACAATTACAGATCTACTTCAGTGTCTCCTTCATAACTGGCACCATAGTAGTTGTATATTTTTCATGGGTTTTGTTTTAGTTCCTATTTAAGCTATGTCAGGAGTGTGTTTACAGCCCATCAGAATCAAATCTGTAACCTGCCTTCCCACGGTTCCCAGTTAAATCATACAACATTCAGCTCTCTCCCTTGTGTCTTCTCTAATCCAGGGTTTCCACTGAATGTCTTGTGTCTCCTGCCCCAGCTGATCCAGCATTTTGAAAATCCAAATCAGTTCTGTAAGGACATAGCTGAAAGGATCGCTCAGGTATGAAGTATAGTTCCACATTCGGGCAAGTCCACTTGGGCCTGTGGGAAGACGCAGAGAAGGCAATGATTTTCTCCAACACTGATGTACTCGCAGTGTACATCCCTGAGTGGATGATGCTCTTCGTCTTTCTCTCTTTTCATTATGAAGAGGGAGTGAGGGGTGCTGGGCATAGTGACACGTACCTGTCATCCCAGCCCCCTAGGAGGGTGAGGCAGGAGAATCTCAAGTTCAAGGTTGGGCTGGACAACTTAGCAAGACCCTATCTAAATAAAATTTATTGGAGGGGTGGGTGGGAATGTAGCTAAATGGTAGAGCACTTGGTAGCATGTGTGAGGCCCAGGGTTCAATCCCTGGCACAGCAAAAGAAAGGAAGAAGGAAAGGAAGCTATGGGGTGAGGAACAGAGAAACAAATGATACTTGTATTAGCTAATTAATAGGCTAAGCATTTCTGTAGCCAAACAATGTATCAATGTACTTTCCAGACCATAAGGATTTATAACAAAATTGCTAACATGTCTTCCTAGTCACCAGAAAGCTTTATCCCTAATTGGTTTTCTTATCTTAAAAGGTTTGTTTGGAAGAGAAAAACCCTAAACTTTCTAACCTTGCCCACGTTATGACGCTTTATAAAACACACAGTTACACAAGGGACTGTGCCACATGGGTCAACGTGGTGTGCCGATACCTTCATGAAGCCTATGCGGACATTACCTTGAACATGGTTACCTACCTGGCAGAGGTAAGCTGGTAGACTAAGGATCACATCTGGTGTACTTCCATGGTCACAATACCTACATAGAACTCATAATATAATACACACCCAATTTCTCTTTACTGATATCTAGTATATTACCGTAGATGCTCATGGAATGCTTTTAAATCTCCACAAGAAACCAGTGATATACATACTGTTATACCAAAGAATTGTGGTTTGGTCAGGTAAAGTAATTTTCCCCAAGTTTATGGAGACAGAAGTACTACCTGAACCTTGATCTTGTCCCCCTTACCCCCAAAGCTAAAGCTCCTTACCATATTCACACCTCTCAGAGTCTGGTGGAAATGAGAAAATGTTATCCTAGTTATTCTGAGCGTTCAAATCTTATTTAAGGAGTTATTGTGTGGCTTGATATGTTTAATGCTTATTTCCTCTGAACTAATTAACAATGTACATTCTGGAAAAAAAATTTTAGCATTGCCTTTTATATTGGTAAAGCTGAATTGAGTTTTGTCATGATACAAATGTGTCTCTAGCACTTTTGTCACAAACTCCTACTCTGACCGCTATGTCCATTGATGCTAAAAATACATAGCATTTCATAGGGCAAATGATAGCACCTCCAGTCTCAACAAATGTAATACACAAAATCATGAAATCTCTGAAGCAAATGATGGACAACGGCTAACCTGTTTCAGCATTTTCAGTGGTGCTTTTCCTTCCAGAATACACATCCATACCTCTTGTCAGGGACTTTTCCAAAGAAATGAAAGCAGTCTATCTGAATCTTCCTTTTAGTTCTGTCACCAGTCCTGGTTCCAGATAGGTTACAAAATCAACCCTTTCTCTAAGGTCCCCCAAGATGGAAAGCACTACCAGCAGGGGTGCTGTCCATCCAGGAGCACTTACAGAGGGTCCTGGGGAGCTTGACTTGCAATATGGATCAACAGTGTAGAGACTATATTCAGACTACCTTTGGCCCCGGAGTCATTTGTTCTTTCTGTCCCTAGTTGCCTTAGATTTTAAACATTCCTCCTAAGTGCCTCTCTGCTACCTCTGATAATCACCTGGTCACACTTGCCCATGCAAGCAGGATGCACATACCTCGCTACACAAGAAGGACTGGGAGAACTGCCACAGACACCCTGCTCTGCAAGGGCAGAAGATAGAGGATGTTTGTTTTAAAAGAAGGTGAAATGTGAGATGACAGCAAGGAGGCGGTATTTGTTTGGAACTGTAACCATAAAAGTTGCAAAAATGTCAATAGGACATGCAGTATACATGTGGTGGAATATTAGCCTTAAAAGGGAAAAAAATTTAGCTATGTGCTACAGTGTAGATGAACCTTGAGGATATTATGCTGAGTGAAATATGCATAATAAGCCAGACAGAGAAGAACAACTATCATGATCCCACTTACATAAACTACATAGACCTGGCAAATGTATAGAGACTGAAAGTATAAGGGCCATTAGTAGGAGCTAGGGGTAGTTGGTAACAGTTATTTTATGGGCACTGAATTTCAGTTTAGAACAATGAGCAAGTTCTAGAAATAGCTGTAATAGTTGCATGGCAATATGAATGTCCTTTATGCCACAGAATTGTACACTTAAAATGGTTAAAATGATAAATTTTCTCAGGTATATTTGGCCACAATAAAAATAAAAAATGTGTCACTTCGTTTGTTATCACAAAATTGTTACCAAAAATATATTACAAACTTACCCAACTCCCCGCTACATATGACATATATTAACTTCTATTTCAGTTACTCATATGTACTTTCTGGTTTGTCCATGCACATGCATGTAATTTTATGTAGCTGTGGGCAGATTTCTGTTGAATCTACTCTGTTCACGTAGTATTAACTTTTTGTGTTACATCCCTGCGTTGACGTAACTCCCAGAGTTGTCTTTTATCAAATAATTCTTGTTATGTGACATTTTATCCAATGATTATTGATTTTATGAAAATCATTTTTTCAAATAACATCAAACGATGCCATTTCCCAATATATAACTGTCCAAAGAACACGGCTATGTGTCCTCCTCCAGGTTCTTACACATTTGAAAGGTTGGTCTTCATAAAGAATTTACTCATTTACAACACTATAATGTATAGACATATTTGTTTTCCAATATCCCACTGTTTTATCATTACATTTATTCTTTAGTTTGATATTTTCTATAAATACTTTCAGATTAGTTTTCTTATGTATCTCCTTTCTAGTGAAGACATTCATTTTCTAAACAATGGATTTGCATAATTGTTTCTTTTCTCATGTATTAATTGCTCAGTTATGTCCTTTGGCTACTTTTACTTGGGTCATTTCTCTGTACTCTTTAATTTGAACAGTAAATTTTTATCATGATGTTTATCATATATATTTTCTCATTATTTTCTTTTGGGCAGTATTTTTATTGATTTTGTAGTATGTGTTCATAATAGAAAACTTAGAAGGTACAAAGCATTTTCTAAAAAGAAAAGAAAATTATCCAAAATTATATTATTTTAAAACATTATTAACATTTTATTTCTTTGATGTTATTTCTTTATTTGTTTTTGTTTTTTGTTTTTGTTTTGGTACCTGGAATCGAACTCAGTACCTTGCGCTTGCCAAACAGGCGCTTATGCCACTGAGCTATATCCCCGGCTGATATTATTTCTTTAAAACACAATTCACGTCAATATTGGCATCATCTGCCTGGCATATAAGCAGTTGTGATGGTTTGTCTTCTACTTGATATTATCTAATATCTTTTACTACCTTTAAAATGGCATTTGATTAACTATATAATATTTTACCATGCAATTTACTGTTAGTTTATACCCATTTCCCTAGTGTTCAACATTTAAAGTGCTTACAGCATTTTCTCATTTATGTACGATTTTTTTTCCATATAAATCATGCCATGAGAAAATCTCACGCATTGAATATGCTGGTTATCTCTGATTTTGGAAACTTTCCTAAAAGTGGTTGCTATTTCAAAAAAAAAATGTGATTTAGTACTCTTGATCTGAACTGCCAAATTATCTAATTTATATTTCCACCAGTGTTTAAGAATGTTCTTTCTCTTTTCTTCTTACCAATACTGAATATTGTCAGTTGTTAATCTTTGCCAATTTGATAACTGACAAATTGGATCTTTTTTAGTTTATAATTTTTAATACTGTCTGATGAGTTCCTTTAAAGATTTATCTTCTCATATTCCTTTGAGTACATTTGCTATCTATGTCTCCATAACCCCATTTCCTTTGAGAGTATCTTCATCCCTTCAGTGGTGAGGTTTTATTTGCCCTCCTAAGGAAACGTGCTTGAGAAGGTGTTGGGAACCTGGTGCTTCAATATGAAAGTCTGGTTTAGAACTGAGTCGCCCGCACTTTGCCTCCTGCAGTTGCTGGAAAAAGGTCTTCCCAGTATGCAGCAGCCCCTCCTCCAAGTCATCTACAGTCTGCTCAGCTACATGGACCTTTCTGTCGTTCCTGTCAAGCAGTTTAACGTGGAAGTTCTGAAGACCATTGAAAAATACGTGCAGGTGAGTCTTCGCATGGCTTCACTGCTCAGCCTGCATCGGTCCAGGAAGGCCGAGGTTTAGCTATAGCTTGTCAGAGGGTACAAAACCATATGGGCACCAGACCACATATTTTTGGCACTGCAAGGAAAAAGACCAAGCAGAGAACCTTTAGTGGATACAGTACTGCCTCCCAGGGCTCACGGCCCCTGGGTGAAAAGCGCACCTGCCTGGGAGTAGGGGCAGTTGTCTTGGACGGAGAAAGAGGAGGAAGCTCCGTGTGTGCCAGGTTCCAGGCTAGGTGCTTCAGCATACAAGCAATTAAAATAGCACTTAAGAGTTGAGAGTGCTAAGGTTAAGAAACTTGCATACATGATGGACGTCCCTAAAAAAAACCTAAAATTAAAAATTCCATCAGATCCAGCTATACCTCTCCTGAGGATATTCCTGAAGGAAAGTTATCATACTACAGGGAGACCCATGTTTGTAGCAATGTAATTTATAATAGCTGAGCTCTGGAAACGGCCTAGATACCCTTTTACAGACAAAGGGATAAAGAAAATATGTATATGTATGCCACAGAATAATATTCAGCCATAAAGAAGAATAAAATCATATTATTTTAGGAAAATAGATAAGTCTTCAGCCCATAAGGTTAAGTGAAATAAGTCAGAAACAGAAAGTTAAATATCACATGGTTTCTCTTACATGAGAAGCCCAAAATATAAATAAGTTAAAGGATAAAATAAAGGAGAGATGGTGGGAAACAAGGAACAGACTTTTGAGATTTGGGGAGGGGACAGTTGGTGGGAAGGAATCAAAAAAATCAAGATAGGATATGTATATATATGAATTTCCCAAAACCCAACTATTATACATTATAAAATACGTGATTTAAAAAAAAGAAGCCTGCATACATGTACTTGAAATTACTCCAATAAACGTGTGATGGATAAAGTACAATGATAAAATGTGAATAACTGAAGAGTGTGCAGAGATTTATTACATTAGTCACCGTTTCTGTGTATATTTTAATAAAAACAGAACAAGATCTGGACAGCAAAATCTCAGTAAAGGGTAGAGCTGGTGTTTCAAACTGGTCCAAGGCCATTGCTTTTGTCTCATTGCCCCAGGGAACCTGCCTAGCAGGGTACGTAGTGAACGTCCGTAAGCACCTACAGAACGTGTCCTTAAAGCCACCCCTGAGACGACCAGGGAAGAAATGAAAAGTAGACCTCAAAAGAGCAAGTAAAGAACAAATTTATAGAACCTGGAAGTTCCTCTGAAGCGAATGGCCACAGGCTGAGGAAGGGAGACCCTAGGCCTGGAAGGACTGTAGAGCCTCCTTGGGGTTTGGTGCCCAGGGCATGCTCAGCAGCAAAGACATCTGCTCCACATTTATTCCTCCTCTTCTCCTCAGGGATGTACTTGGTCAGCTGCAGAACCCAAGGGCAAACGCTAGCTTTTCTCTAGTTAAAATCATTGACAAAGGCATAAAGTACAGTAAATTTCCATCTTCGCATCACCAATCGCATTTCATACAGAAATTGTTTAATGTTAAAAGTGATTTCCAAGCATCTTTTTTTCCAGTTTTTAAGAGTCTATAATGATGGTGCCACCTGGTAGGCATTTGGTTTCAAAACTCAATCGAGCTAGAGGGTCGTTTCACACCTTTCTTCTGATCAGTCCTGTGGCCCGTTTCCTGGCTGTACGAGGACGCATGCTTTGTTGGAGGCCTGTGGACCATCTCTGGTGCTCAAATTCTTACCCTGAGTGGTGGCTAATTTCATATTTAAAGCTGTCTTCCTTGTGCAGAACCTAACAGGAAAGGAAGTATGTTTCATTTATGTTATGATTATAAAATAACCTAGCAACTTGGTTTGCCTATGTTCAATAATTTTGTGAGAGAAGCACCTCCCCTGCCAGCCCAGTCTGATGGGGAGGGGAGCTGTCAGAAAAACAAAAATGGTTTTAAAAAACCTTAGAGGGAGCGTAGGAAGTTAGTCAGCATTAACAAGTGGAAAGCCTTTCCAGGACGAGGGAAGAGAGCAAGGAAAAGCACAGAGGCTGAGAGACCCTGCCTGGTTTGGGAAACCAGCGGTAGCCTGGGGGAGACACCTCCGCAGGCCATGCTCGCAGAGTGGACTTGTCCTGTCCACCAGAGGGAGCCCTCAGAGAAGTCTGTTGTGGAGAGTTCTAGAAAGATCCTAGGGTAGGTGGATCTGAGGTCAGTTAAGAGGCCAGGCAGGTCCAGAGAGGTTTCAGCTGAGTTGAAAGTGGGAGTAGAAAGGAAAAAATAAATTATCGGAGGGAGACAAGGAAGATTTTTAGAGGAACTCTCAGATTCCCATGTTAGATATGCCTGGTAATTTTAAATTTGTATTCCTTTGAATATTGACAAAATAAGTCTTTTTTAAATTTTTCTTGTTTTTTTTTTTTTAAATGTAGCTCATTTTATGTGGAAATGGTCTTTTCACATCATTTTGCCTTTTATGTTTTACAGAATTTCCTGCATGTTTTAAGTCAGTGAATTCTGATGGGTGAGAATAATTTTCAGCACTGTTCCCCTAACTTTCTAAAATTATTTTTAACCCTTGAATATTTCATCTCCTGCAGAGCGTTCACTGGAGAGAAGCTTTGAACATCCTGAAGCTGGTTGTTTCTCGGTCAGCCAGCCTCGCACTGCCTTCCTACCAGCACGGCGACCTCTCCAAGATAGAAATACATCGAGTGTGGACCAGTGCTTCTAAGGAATTGCCTGGGAAAACCCTGGACTTTCACTTCGATATTTCAGAGGTACTTAGCTATATGAACTGCTTCTGTGAACTTACCCTTGAATTTATGGTAGCAAAAGTTAAATGTAGTTGCTAGAAGAAAAGAAGATTTATTTTATATTTATTACAAATGAAGACTTCTAAGGCCTAAATTAGGTTTTGTTATTTTAATCATATATTGAGGGGCAAGGGATATAGCTCAGTGGTAGAGCACTTGCCTAGCATACATGAGGCCCTGGGTTCAATCCCTGATAACAAGACAGGAAGAAAAAAAAAATGAAAAAAATATATATATATATATATATATATGGAGAGAGAGAGAGTATCACATTAACTTGGGCTGTCAGTTGGCAGATTTAGAAATAGAAACTAACCTGTTAATGAAAAAATGATTTTTTTTAGAAATAGGGTTAAAAATGGAATGATCTTAAATATCTTAAACCATGACCTTCACTCATTCTTTACCGCATGACTGTCTTATCTGATGTGTACATTTCTCCGGGAACTGTAGAGAAGTGGAGAGATGACCAAGATTTACGGGAATATGGAAGTCACCTGGGTGGTGGCTTCCCCAAGCCGCTCTGCCCTTAAACAAGTAAACTAGGAGCCTTCCTGGGGTAGGGGGAGCACAGGAGCAACAGGGAGATGAGGCCTAAGGCCCTATGCTAAGGAGTTGAAAAGATCAAAATTAGTCAAGTTTATCTGCTAGTCCATGAGCCAATTTTTAGGCCGCCAGTACTTAATTATTTAAGTTAAAGATATAAAATAACTTGGTTTTCATACCTTTCTTACCCCATGATGCATGACTCCCCTCCCAAAGTTGCAACTCTGCTGTTGATCCTTATAACCAAGGCATAGCAGTACACTGTGTTGAGCAAAGCAGATCATTCGTAATTATTTCTAAGAATGCTAAATGACAACTTCACTAAGAAATAAACCAGATATGTTTGTCTGGAACTCATTTGTGGTAGTAAGTAGCTTCTATCCCCATTGGCTTTTTTTTTCCCTTTCTATACTAGGGGATTGAACCGAGATTTTCACACAAGGACTCTACCCAGAGTTTTTGACACAACAGCGCTTGCTGACTTTTACCTTTCAGTATGGAGGATGAGATAACTCTTGCTCCCGTTGTGACACCTCCATCTATATGTACTATTCGTGTAAATGCTGTGAAAGTATCGCTCTAATCCCTGTCCATATTTAACTATTTTTTACATTGCTAAAGAGAAAAGCTATTTTCACTCTTAGACTTAAATTTACTCTGTGCCAAAAGGTTAATAACAACAACAAAAAAAATGTAGCCAGTTAGCTGCATCCCCTAACTCCCAGAACCACTCCAACAGTGGCCCTGGGGAGATGGAGAACTGGCAGGAAGTTCCTGGCAGGAAGTTCCAATCACAAGCTGGTGTCAGCAGAGGATACCTTTTTGGGGCTCAATTTGGGGAGCTGCTGTGCCCTGGCCACCACGCTGCAAGGAGCTCAGAAAGTGAAATTTCTAAGATGTTGCCCAAGTACCTGGCCCTGACCTTATCCACTTGAATAATTGAAAAGATATAAATAATTTATGTAAAATTTTAAATAATTGAGAGTGTATAAAGATTGATGATTAGAGCAACCTGAAGAGAGAGGAAGGAATTTTAATATTTTATAATAAGAAATTCTTTCAATCTTAAACACCCCAAAACTATTTGATTTCCTGCATGCTTTTGCATTTTTTATCAGTGGTTTCCAAAGTATGTTGAATATCAAGTGATTAGATTTGTTTTGTGCTGCTAAAGAGGCAGAGAGAATACAGAAGATGCAAACGACTCAGGATGTATATTTGAACATCAGGAAAACAACATGTCACACCGAGCTTTTCTGCTCTTGAGTTTTAAACACATAAGCAGTTTCTGGTTGTTTCTGGGTAGAATGGTCCCACATGCTACAAAATTACGAATCTGTCCTCTTCCACTTTCCCAAGACGCCGATCATTGGGAGGCGATATGACGAACTACAGAATTCTGCGGGGCGTGATGGGAAACCCAGGACCATGACGGTCACCCGAAGTGCATCCTCCACTTCGTCAGGCTCCAACTCCAATGTTCTTGTTCCTGTGAGCTGGAAAAGGCCCCAGTATTCTCAGGTATTCAGTCCCAGGTTTATGGCATTCGAAGGGAGTTTAGGTGACCTCCCAACTCCCAAATACATACGTGGTACCTGATTCCCCCATTTCCCAGCACCGCCTCATTTCTCCCAGCGAGGGGTCTCGCAGCACCCTATGGCACCCATTTCATCTGTCAGTGGCACATTACGCTGACTAGAAGTTAGACTGTGTGTTGTTCATACCCATTGGTTCAGTCCTCTTAGAAGTCAAGAAACAAAATCTGGCCTCTCTTTCACATGGCAGTCCTTCAGAAATTTAAAGAAACCCTGCTCCTCCACCCTCACCCAAACGAGTGCCCTTTTCTCCGTGTAATAAAGCTTTAGTTCTTCCAAGCTGTCCTACAGGGCTTAGATACCCAAAGGGTTAGTAGGGCTACACTTTCCAATGCCATCCTGGCTGATCTCTTCCGAGCCTAAACTTTAATCCTGGTTTCCAAACGCAAGCTGAGCCACACTGCCAGGTTTCTCTACACACTGGTCGTCGTAGCCTAGGACTATATGTCTTTAGTCTATGGGTGACTAAGTCACATTACTGATGCCCTCAGCTTGCTGTTGGGTAAAGCCTTCGCACTATTCAGAACTCTTTAAGTGACATGTGACGGAAACCCACCAACAATTTACCAGAAGGGGAAAAGGAATTTATAAAACCATCTGTGTTAATCAGGCTTTTGTCACTGACTGAATAACTGAAAGAACCAAATGATAAAGAGGAAAGGTTTATTTTGACTCTAGTTTCAGAAGTATCAGTCCATGGTCGCTTGGCCCTGTCTGGGGCCTGTGGTCACACAGGACATCGTAGTGGAAATGCATGATCACGGAGGCTTGTTCACCTTGGGGAGACAGGGAAGCAAAGAGAAAGAGAAAGGAGCCGGGACCCCAGAGCCCTTTCAAGGTCCCTCTGCAGTGACTGGACTTCCTCCCACTGGGCCCACCTCTTAAGGTTCCCTGCAGGGCCGTGGACTGGCACCCAAGCCTTTAACACATAGGCCTTTGGGAGACTTTCAGAGTCAGAACTATAGCACCATCCACCTTAGCTTTATGCACTGCTGAGTTCTAGCACCAAGGCAGGAACCAGACCCTTAGACACTTTCTCCTTCCTTCTGTCTCCCGCTTCTGTCTCCAGCCTGCTGTTTTCCCCCCTCTTGACTTCACTGTCAGCAGGCTTTTCCCGTAGGACCCAGCAGCAAACGCTGGTATTCCAGCTTTCCATGGTTTTTTGGTCTGATCATTTCAGAGCAGAGGCCTTGTTCTGACATCCAGAGCGGTTGTAGAAAAAAAAAGACTCCTGCAGGGTGTGCACAGGGTAGGAAAAACGCTTTGTTTGCATGCCCAGCAGAATTCACCTTCATTCTGAAAGGTTTGGGAAATGAAGGCATATCCTGGAGCCTGTGGAAAAAGAGCAGTTGCTCTACACGGATTTCTTCTCAGAATTGTAAAGTGAAATTAAGGCCTAGGAAAATTGCTGAGCAAATATACACTCATTCACTCTACATCAAGGTCCTCCTGTCTCTGACTTGGACTCTGACTTTCCCATTTTTAAGTTGAAAAGAAGGATGCAGTGAACAGGTTCCACTGGGAAGGAACATCTGAGACAGTGGTGTTGGCCGCCTCATAGTTTCTGCAGAACAACCCTATATGAGATTAAAGGGGAGGGACTGTTTTAAAGAGATCTGGAAGATTGCTTTAAGAGCACTTCCGAAGCACAGCAACATTTTTTAGATTCTATTGTATATCTTTTCATTTTCAACTACCAGTCATCCTGAGACCTAGTAATCTCATGAAAAATGTGATGGTTTAGAAAAGATTCCTCACGATTAAGGGCCTAGAGAATAAGGTTTGTGGGGAAAATACAAAAGAATCTGTTTCACTTTAAGAAGAATCAATTGGGAAAGATTTAATGTGGCTTACAAATGATTGAATGCCTTCGTTATGTGCAGTTAATTTTCTCACTTGAAGAAAACAGATCTGTACTGTAATAATTTAATTTGAGTGTAATAAAAACCTTGCTAAAACTAAAAGTTGTAACAACAGTCAAGAAAAGATGATCAGGGGAGTAGATCTCCGCTGCAGAACCAAGGTAGTGATGGCGAACCTTTTCAAGACCAAATGCCCAAACTGCAACCCAAAACCCACTTTGCAATTAAACCTGAATACTGAGGTTTTAGTTTAGGGGGGAAAAAAGCTGTTATCTAATGCTCAGTTGCTAGGACGACTTGGCTGTGTGCCAGGAGAGAGCGTTCTGTGTGCCTACTGGGTCACACATGCAAAAGGTTCGCCACCATGGACCTAGAGGCTGATTTTCACACACCCATAACAGCCCTTGGGGTGATTTAGGCAAACACTGCTAGGAAAAACATAAGCCTCATTTTAAATGCTGTAGCAATCGCCTTTCATAACAAGGTAAAAAGAAACAGGAAAGTCAACTTTAATAAAATTTTATTTAAAAATTTATCTAAAAAATTGTTTCAAGGGGTTATCAGTATTGTACTATTGTCAGTGAGAAGTTCTACGTTGTGTTTTCCTAGCAAGTCTTGTGTTTTCCTTCTCAGTTCCTAGTGGCTGCATTTCAAGCAGTCCCCTGCCCTCTGTGGCAAGGGGCTGTGGGATTAGGGCAGGTTTGCTCACAGGACCGCACAATGAAAACCTGCTTTGTGTTTCTTTTCCAGAAGAGGACAAAAGAGAAGCTGGTGCACGTCCTTTCTCTGTGTGGCCAAGAAGTAGGGTTAAGCAAAAACCCATCTGTAAGTTCCATCATGTGTCATATTTTTGCCTTTGATCTGTTTTTTTGCTGTTGATCGTATAGTTTTACATAAGATTCTACGATGGATGACACGTAGGATACCCACTATCTACACCAAACCCCTGGACTGTTCTTCCCTCCACCATGGTTTTTAATTTCACTTAGTTTAAAAATCAGGAAACCTTTTGTTGGCTCTCTGTCTCAGTTTGCCTATGAATACTGTTTTTATTTTTTTAAATTTCTGTTTTTTTATATATACGTTCGAACTTCCTTACAGCATATGTGCAGTATCTGCTTCACCACCATGCATGACACAGAGGCTAATCCTCGTAGATGTAATTCTGTTCCATATACACACGCCTCTTACATTTACATTCTTTTGTTCACATCACAATACTTAAAGATAAAGGATTATAAAACCAGGTATTGTGTCACATGCCTGTAATCCTAGCATTCAGGAGGCCAAGGCAAGAGGATCGCTGAGAATTCAAGGCCAACCTAGGCTATGTATAGTGAGACCCTGTCTCAAACAAAACAAAACAAAACAAATTGTAAACATTTTTAAGTGATATGTTTTTTCTTACATAAATTTTCACGGTTATAGAAAAAATATCATTAGACTTCTGAAGGAACAAATGATGAAAGTGTTATAATGAGAAAGCTTCTGAAGCCTTTATAAAATTCAGAAAATTTGAATTACATGGATATGAGCACATTGCAACAAAAACTGAAAATGTCTGAGTCTAGTTTCACCTTGTACTTTTATTTCATCTCTATTACACCATCTTTATTACTTACAGAAAAATAGCAAATTAACTCACCAAATAAAGTAGAATGATCAGACCAATTTCCCTTTGGAGCTGTTTTTAAAACCCAAAATTGTATCTATTTACATAGTTCATGAGGAAGTAAAATAGTAGAGGCTCATAAGTACTCAGTAACGTACCTCAGGTACCCACCAGCTAAACTGCAGGTCATCTTTGAAGATCTCCACTTAAGTCACCTTTGGTGTTATTGTTCCGTGGTTTGTTGCTTCGCCTGGGACATTACTTAGGGCAGACAGAGCTGCCCAGCCCACCACAGAGGGAAACAAAAGTGTCTTAACCTCCGCAGTGCAGCCCAGCCCAGGAGAGTTATTTCTTATTGCCGTCATGGTCAGCACTTTCTCTGGTTCATACCGTCTGCCCCAGTGCTGAGGCCTTGCCGCTAGAAGTATTCCCTAGAGTACAGTACCTCACAAATAAGACACACAGCACTACCCAGGCGTGGGAGCCTTCAGCTAAGGAAATCAGAATTTTCATGTGTCGCCTCTCACTGGCTACTAGACTTGCTGCCCGTGTTGTGTCACACACCTGTGTGTGATCCCATGCAAAACCATCCATCATGTACCACTGCATGAAAATACAGCTGGAAGAGCCCTTATCTTAGATGCTTAGTACCAGAAGTGTTTCAGATTTGGGCGTTTTGAGATTTTGGAATTTTTGCACAGACTTTATCAGTTGAACATCTGTGAGGTCAAAATTTTGAACCTGTTGACCCTGCAAAAATGTTAGATTTTAAAGCAGTTCAGATTTCAGGTTTTCAGATCAGGGATATTCAGCCTGTGTCATGCACATTATATGACTATTCTTAAACAGCAGAGGAAAAAAGCACTACATTTGACATCTACTCACTTTTTTTACTTGGAGACATGTTTGTTGTATTTCAGTTCTTATAAATGATCTGCCTAGGCCGGGCATGGTGGCTCATACCTGTAATCCCAGCACTCGGGAGGCTGAGGCAGGAGGATCGCTGCAAGTTTGAAACCAGCCTGGGCTACAGAGTGAGCTCAGGGCCAGTCTGAACTACAGAGCGAGACCCTGTCTCAAAAAAAAAAACCTAAATAAATAAATAAGTAAAAATATTTCATAAATAAATACATAAATGATCTGCCTATTTGTCAAGAAGACTAAGACATTCTAATGATCATATAAAGAATACTGTTAATTTTACTTAATGTCAATCTATGTTCAGTAAACACTGGCTAGCAAAAAAGTTAGTTTCATTTGTAGATTACTATTTCAACAAACTTCTATTAAAATGGCCCTGTGAAGAAAAAACTTAAATAGAGCTTTTGTTTTGTTTTGTTTTGTTTTGTTTTGTTTTGTTGTTGTTTTTGAGACAGAGTCTCCCTGTGTAGTCCAGGCTGGCCTTGCCCTCACTATGTAGCTAGGCTGGCCTCAAACTTGTGACAGTCCTCCTGCCTCAGCCTCCCAAGTGCTGGGATTGTAGGCATATGCTGGGATTATAGGCGTGTGCCACATGCCCAGCTGAGAAGTTAATTTTAAAACATTAACATAGTAAAGATTGTAACAGAAGAAATGCTTTGACTGTTTTAAAGCAACATGGTAGGGATGTATGTGTATACAAATTGTAGGAATGGTGTTCGGCTACTCTTCTGCAGTTCTAGGGAGGGTGTGAACGTGTGTGATTTCTAATCCCAGTCAGCTCAGGAGTGGAAAGTTCTTAGTCACGAGTTTGTCTGTGAGCGTATCTCAGTTGTTTGTCTCTCACACACACACCCAGGTAGTGTTCCACCTTCATCCATTAAGAGCCGGTGATTTAACTCTTGAACATTTTCCTGGTGCATGAATTTACGTCTTGCGACGAGTTTAATCCGAAGGCACCTGTCCAACATAAATAATAAAAGAACATTCTAAAAATACCCACCGAAGGAATTAGGTGTGTACTGGAAATACAGTGCTATGAAGAGCCAATTACCGTTTCGTGTAGCACAAACAACTGAGGAGAGCCCAGCTTCTCAGGAGAGGACTCTTTGGGTCCGTAGGTGATTTTTTCCTCGTGTGGGGACCTGGATCTGCTGGAGCATCAGACGAGCCTGGTGTCTTCTGAGGACGGCACCCGGGAGCAGGAGAACATGGATGACGCAAACAGCGAGCAGCAGTTCAGAGTCTTCAGGGACTTTGATTTCCTAGACGTGGAGCTGGAGGATGGAGAGGTACAGTATATTTTCTAAAAATAATTGCCTGAACTCTTGTCCTGGACTAACAAAATTGTGTCTTTCTGCCTGCAAAGTAGTGAGTTTTTGTAAGAAGATCTTCCATTGCAAAGCTGTAAACTCTATTTTGAATCAACTTATTCAAAGTAGAGCCGCCTAACTTGGGTAAAAGCTGCCACACCCTTCCTGTCTGAGCCCGGGGCAGAAGCTGCCAAGTTCTTTCTAAGTGGCAAAGACTTGAGCTGTAATGACCACACAAAGACTGTGTGCGCGTAGTCCAAAGGGGAACTTAAAAAGCACGAAAACATGGCACTTCTGAGCCTATTCACTGGCACCTGGGCAAAATATGCTAAGTATTTAATTCTTCTAAAGGCAGAGTTGTTCTAAATCAGTTATTTCAAAGCTTGCCTGCTATAACATGAGATGAGAGCCTCGGGGCTCCGGCTTTTTTGTGCTGTTTGATGAAATCATTAGAACTTAAAATACAAAGCACATGAGCGAGCATTCTGTGCTCTGCTTTGGCTTGGTCGCCAGCCTTCCAGATACCTGGAGCAACTGAATTCAAGTCTCAACAGGCAAATACAGACTCTTTTATTTTAAATGATGGTCATGGTAATAAGATGCTTTCTGCTATGAATCATGATTTTGAAAACAGGGCTGGAAGGAGGAGCCTCCCCCAGTCAGTCGCCCTCATTTCTGTAGCTAAGGGGCAGGTTCCGGCTGAGAGATACTCTTTAATGTCTGGGAATGAAAACACAATTTTCTTCAGTGGGACTGGCTTATGTAAAGATGCCTGATACCAAACCTGGTTCATGGTGTTGCTCATCATTGAGCAATTCACTTTTAGGTAAACATCCTCTATTTTCCAAAAGCCATTCTTAGGGTCTTCCGATTAAAAATAGAGGCTCAAATTCAAAATTCACTCTGTCTTATGGTAGGTAGGCACCTTCTAACTTAACTACACACTTGCAGGAAAAGGATGCTTTGTGTATCCTCCCTAAAAGGGTGTGATTACCGACTACCCCACTTATGTCTCATGGAAGCCAAAGAGCTAAAAGCACTGTTTCAAAAAAGTGTCAGCTGACTTCTCACCTTAAATTGTTCCAGGGCCATTAAAAGTATTGCAGAGATTACTGCTAACCATAATTAGTGACAGAGAAAGCAAAATATTGTATAATTATTTGATTATTTTCTAAATATCTCTGCACCAGGGCTGAGTGTTCAGCTCATGTCAAAAGATTAGCTCCCTGACCTGACAATGACCTCATGTCTGGGCACCCTCCTGGTTCTGGAAGTTAAACAAGGAAGGGAAAAACTGACGAAACGAGAGCGGTATCATCTTCCTCTTCACCCCGAGAAAAGTATTATGTGGAGTGATCTGGAGGGCGTGAAGTAAAGCAGAGGTAACAGAAGCAATTTTAGAAAGACGAGTTTCATTTCTGTCCAAGTGAAAGAAAGTGTTGGGGATGCGACTCAGTGGTAGAACATGTGCTCGGCATGCACTGAGGCCCTGTGCTGTGTTCCCAGCACCACAGAAATAAAAAATTACTTTTAAAATGGAAGAACAATTGGAGATGCCTCCCTCTGAACTATGGCACTAATGTTTTTCATAATAAATAATGAATGCTATCCCTTCCATTTAATCATCTCTCTTTGTCCTAACCAACAACTAAAATATTACAGAGATGATCTTACCTTTCTTATGAGTAACATTTTATAAGAAGTTCAAGGGAGTAAGAGAGCACATTTTAACCAAACAAAAGAAATCATTTGGGGCTGGGGATTTAGCTCAGCGGCACAGCTCCTGCCTGGCAAGCGCAAGGTTGTGAGTTCGATTCCCGGTACCAGAGGGAAAAAAAAAAAAAAACAGAAATCATTTGAAAGCTGGGTGCTATGGCATATGTCTTTAGTCCCAGCTACTTGGAGGTTGAGGCATATGGATCCGTTGAGCCCAGAAATTAAAGACCAGTCTGGGCAGCATAGCGAAACGCTGTCTCAAAACTAAATGAGCCATTTCAGAATGTTTTGCTATTTCCAAATAAAATTATAATGAAGGATTCTAAAATAACTTATTGATCCCTAAATAGCATGAAAGGGCTTAAATCTATCAACCCCGAGTTTGAATTTCAGCTCTGCCAGTGACCTAGCCAAAAGGACCTCCAACAGGAATGCAGGTCTTCTTGGTTTCTGATGCTCTTGGGTTCAGCAGGCATCATAGTAGCTGCCTGTACAGTTGTCATGAGGGTGACATGAGATACTCTATGGGGAGTGGCTAGCATGGTGTCAGCCACTCAGCATTCTCAGTGTCAGTCCCCTAGAACTGGCTGTCATTAGTAAACAATTTTAGCATATCCTCATCAGAGAAAATTAAACCTATCTTGTGACTTGATGAAAACTCACTTGCCAAGCCAGGTGTGGTGGCACACGCTAGCCTGGTCTACAAACAAGGGATGGGGTGGGTGGGACCCTCCAGTTTAAAAAAAAAAGTCAAACTGTTTATGTGTCTATTCCTTTTCACTCATCTCAGGATTTGTTGATAGTATCTGTATAATGGTTTCTGCCCTTGACCTTTTTGGAATCTTAAAGGGCTGTGTCATTGCCATTAATTGCACATCCGCAGTAAATACATCATGATCACAAACACTTTTAACTCTGTGAGCAAGATCAGGTGACATCTCTTTTTTCTAGTTGATGCCCCTTATTTCTTTTCCTGTGTTACTTAACAGTTTTCTCACAAATAATAATTTAGGCATTCCAGTAAAATGTGTTGAAAAGACCAAAGTTGTCAGGAAAGTGGAAAGCTACTTCAGAAATTGCACTTACCATGTGTACCTCAGCTGCACCATCCATCACTAAGGGGTGTGAAACAGCTGCTGCTGAACACTGATCCTTCTCTTTGGGGTTAGCACACACTAACTTTTTAAAAAGTTGTGTCCACTGAAGTATCTATTGTGTATATTGTTAGCATTATTAGTTGCTACTGTGTTAGAATTAAAACAAATGCACTTGAGTATCTTTAATCATTTTAAATAGACCTTTTATTTGTTTTTCTATCCATACAATCTGCTACCCAGGAACTTCAGGTAAGATGATGCTATTTTTAATTCAGAGATGCTAGTAGATGTTTTGCATCATTGCAAATTTATAACAACATAATTGCTTTTTTTCCTCCCTTCCAGCAAATGTATGCTTATTGTGTGTATGTATATATCTATTTAGGTGTGTGTCCTATAAGAGGTATTTTTCCTGGCTGCTTAGTATGGAAATATATTGTAAAACAAATTATAATTTTTTTTAAAAATCCTTACATTCTAGGAAAATCTTTACATTCTAGGAAAATCTTTACATTCTAGGAAAATGCATATTATATCTCGAGAGAAAATGAGTCATCAAATTTGATCAGCGGAGATCCTATAATTTCTGGTTAGGCAAGTACACAACTGGATAGGTTGTTATTACTTTCCTATTAAAAATGAGATCAGGCTAGGTGTGTAGCTTAGGGACAAAGCATGTATACAAGGCCCTGTGTTCAATTCCCTGCACACCAAAAAAGGTGAAATCAATCTGCACCTGATGATATATCATATACACTTCCAATAAAATCTTTCTTTCCCAAGATTTAGAAGCTATCTCTTTATGGTAACTAGATCAGTTTTCATCCAAACATGGGCTCTCATAAGTGAAAGGAGATGTCAGTAATAATTACATCCAGATAACCGGCATAAACCAGGATCATCCTGAGCAAACTGACCTAAGATCACTCTATGTCTGTGTCATATCAGATTCACTCTAGCTCATTTAGGGGAACATACTCCTAGACCTTTCAACAATAATTCTGTTTTGGCTGGGTATGTAGCTCAGGTCTTGGGTTCAATCCCCAGCACCAAAATAATAATTATCATTTGTATTCTTTTTTTAACCACATTCTGATATGAAAAAATTATTTCCGTGAATATTACTTCCAGTATCGCTAGAATATTGTTAATACTTTTCTACCCTAGTAAAAATCCTGAGTGGTATATTTAAGTGTGTTGAAACCTGTATATGAAAATTATCCATCCAGAAAAGTTATCCATCTTGTACATTTTTTCACATATAACCTGGCATCACCAATAAACTGTTTGGACTTTAGCTTTGTATGTAACAAGAAATGCAAATCTGACAGTTAAGGGAGAAGCAGGATGGAGTGTACCTCCACTGGAGGTATCCCTATGACATGCTGTGAAAGATGGGTTGACTTTTTTTTTTTTTTTGGTTTTTCTCCTGTACCGGGAAGCGAACTCACGACCTTGCGCTTGCCAGGCAGGCGCTTTTGCCGCTGAGCTAAATCCCCAGCCCCCAGATGGGTTGACTTTTGATCACCACAGCTACCCACCCCCCCAAGGTGGGGGATTAAACCCAGGGCCTCACATACCCTAAGTACACTCTCTACTTCAGAGCTATACCCCCAGCCTCCATCACCGTGGACCTTTACTGGGACTAGACTACAACATGGCTTTATCTCAACCCCTCTGCTACCACTAGGAAAACAATTTCAATACCTTTGTGTTAATGGAGCTGACACAGCCTCTAACAGGACGGATCTTATTCCTGCAAAGACAGCTCCCTGCCTCCCTGTTCTCATGCATGATGGACTCCGGTCTTCACCAGACCTACTAGCAAATCCATGGTCACAGCTATCTTTGCCCAGGGCGGCATTTCTTGCTCTGGATGTCTGTGTTGCTCATCCAGGGCTTGGGTTGTAGCTTAGTGGTAGAGTGGTTGCCTAGCAATGCAAGGCCTTGGGTTTGATCCCTAGTAGTAAAAAAAATTAAAAGTGAAATATAATTCTTCCAGCTCATCCATTCATTTGGTACAAGAAAATCAGTTTTATAAATTTGTATATTCCAGTAGTTTTCACGTTCTTTTTTGTATAGTGTAACTTTTCACCTTTTTTTCCTTTCTTCACACATTGCATTTTTCTTCCAAAACGTCTTGCTCTTACACATTTTTTCATTGCAATAGTTATTTTAAAATCCCAACATAGCAGTTAGTCTTCTCCTCCACACTGAAAAAAAGAATTTATTTATCACTGCAGACAGAGATCAAACAAATACAAGTTGAATATCCCTTATCCAAAATGCTTAGAACTAGATTTTAAATTCTGATTCATATTTTCTTCAGATTTGGGAATATTTGCATATACACAATGAGACCTCTTGGGGATGGAACCCAAGTCTAAACAGAATTCATTTATGTTGTATATACATCTTATACACATACCAAAAGATAATTTTCACATAATGTCAGATATGGCATTTTCCAGGGGCTGGGGATTTAGCTCAGCAGCAAAAGCGCCTGCCTGGCAAGCTCAAGGTCGTGAGTTCGGTTCCTGGTACCGGAGAAAAAAAACAACAACAACAAAAATATATGACATTTTCCACTTCAGGGCATCATGACAGCACTTTCTGATTTTGGAGCATTTTGGATTTCAGGCTAGGGATATCCAACCTTTATAGATACAGGGGAAACAGCAGGTACAAAGTATGAAAAACATATCTAAATCTATATAATCAAGTGACCTTAGGGCAATATATATAGACATGGATAATATCTGTATATTTGGAATAATATGTTAAGCATCTACTATAAGACATCTATGAGAATAGAAAACTTGTGTCATTAGGAGACAGAAATAATAGACTCTTAAGCCAGAGAGAAATGAATAAGCACACCACTAAGATTGCCAGTAATTTACATCTCCTTATGCTGTTCACTGAGCTCGCATCAGAGTGAACCATTAGGCAGTGCTTAAAAATTCCAAAAAATGAAAGGATTCAGTGTCAAATCTCATTTCATTACCTTTTTGTTTCGATTAAAACTTGCTTAGCAGCAGGCTCGTAATACCTCTCTTCCTTTATTCCTAGCCTAAGAAACAGAAAAACAAAACCCAAATTCATTTCTAGAAAAAAAAAATTGTTAGTCAAATGAACTTAATAGCTGATAGTTTATAGGAAACATCTAAGATACAACAAAAGCTTTCACTGATACTTATGTGGCCTCCTAGGCCACTTCTCAGAAAATCACAATGTACAAGTCAGCGGTCGTGTTCAGAACTGAGGCAAGAAATTGTGTCCCAGGATGGAACAAGTATTTAAAGATGAGCCTAAAGCAAAAGTGAAGCCGTTGCTGCTCTGGCCTCTGCGTAGTGCATGATTCATCAAACTCTGACCAGCTCCCTGACAGTCTTTAACTCTGCATTTTATCTGTGAAAACTGCTGTGGCAGAACGGGCTGGAATGTTTACCTAATGCTCCTCTACTTAATAGCCAACGGATTCTGGAATGTGCTGCAAGCCTAGCTCCTACTTGTTTCTCCCTTGGAAAAGTGCACTAAACGGGCTGGCGGGGGGAGGGAGCCCATATCTCTTTTGAAGTGTTTTACTATTAATAGTCTCTTTCTTACAGATTTTTTAAGACACACATCATTTCTAGAATTTGCCAAAATCAATTAAAGAAAAATAGCCAACATGCCCAAGAAAAAGTATAATCACTTTTGTAACTTAATATGTATTTACATCAAAAATAGTCTGCTTTTGTTACTTTTCACATCAGGTAAACTAAAGTTTTTATACCCAAGCTCATGAGGGCTTGGACGTTCATGTTGACCACATTTGTTTCTAAGCTGTGACTAATTAAAGGTGTGAGCGCAGGAGGATTTGAGCATAAAAACCGAGCTGATGGTGTGATTTCAGGGTGAGAGTATGGACAATTTCAACTGGGGAGTGCGCAGACGTTCCCTGGACAGCCTGGACAAGTGTGACATGCAGATCCTGGAGGAGCGCCAGCTCTCAGGAAGTCCTCCCAGCCTAGATAAAATGAACCATGAGGATTCCGATGAATCATCTGAGGAGGAGGACCTCACAGCCAGCCAGATCCTGGAGCACTCCGACCTAGTAAGTAGGAACTCTCCCACCATGGCAACTGGGAGACTTTTTTTGTTGTTTATAATTAATGCAGGAGTTTTGTTTCTAGTTCCAGGTAAAGAATTTACCACAGCTGTTGGACTAAAATCTCAACTCTCAGGTGGTGTCTGATTTCTCTTTTCTGTAGGTGGCAGATGGATACAATTGCTGGCATAAATGTTATACACCCTGATCACCATCTAATCTGTAGGGACCTAGGTTTTTCCCAACTACTGTAACTTGTATGAGGCTGGAATTTTTATAAAAATTTCCTCTGGTAGCTAAAGTTTTAGGAAATAGGACAGACATTTTAATGTGGTTATCACCAATACAGTACTGGTATTTTAGAGGGCTGTGCCGTGACACCAGCTAGATCGATAGCTGCCATGTCTAATGTCCAATAATAGTAGCATATGAAAATTAAAACGTTAATACTTACCATCCAAAATTAGAGAATAATAGTTTGTGCTCTATGTAAAGAAGAGTTAGAACTTGTAAAGACGGGGAACTTCATACTGTTTTATTTCCTTTGCTTTTTAAACAGATCATGACCCTCTCCCCTTCAGAGGAGGCCAGTCCCATGGAACTGCTCACCACAGTCTGCGACTCAGCCCCCGCTGACCCTCGTTCCTTTAACACCAGAATGGCCAGCTTGGACACTTCACTGCCTGATATGAATAATCTGCAGATTTCTGAGGGTTCAAAGGTGAAGATATTTTGGCAGTTGTGATTGTTGTTTTCCTTTAGAGGAAAATTCTTCTCATTTTTCTGAGCATTCTTAGGGAAGGGGGGTCAAAAGTAGAACTACATTTCTTTTTCTGATTTTAGTGAAAGCACTGCAACCTGTGCACCTTGGCCCACGTTTCCGCTGCTTTACACTCACTCCCTTGAGCGGCCGTCTTCTTGGCTCAAAGAGATTTGATGTGAAGTCTTCGTAAATTGAATCATTTTGCCTGAACACTGCTTGCTGAGGGCAAAACAGTGGTGTATATCTGAGATCGCTGTGACTGGGAAACTGCTGCTCTTTGTCATGACTTTTCTAAAACAATATGCAAAGTGAGGTGTGGGTGTATGTGCGAATTTGGGGACATTTTTTCCTATGAAGGAACCAGTTATACAATTTGTACATTGATTCAACACTTGCCTTTTGGCATACTGTCAGCCTTTTAATGTCAATCACAGTATTATGCCAGATTTGCACAAATCTCTCCTAGCCAGACTGAGGAGAAACATTAACTAATGGATGTGTTTTCATTTTAAAAGGTTAGGCTGAAAGTATATATCAGTGGATATAATCAGTTCATGCACCCCGTTATCTGCACGATTCTGGTCACAAACCAAACTGGACAAGAACCAAAGCAGATTTTCCCCTAAAGCCAACATTGAACCTGACCACTGAATTTGATTCATTTCTTGTCTAACTCAGTATACAAGCAGAACTGTGGGAAGAATCAAGTTTGTGGACTGAGGCACCCCTGTTTATATAGTGTATATTTCATGTGTGCTTTATTTTATCAAAATTTTCAGAAAATATTCTATCAATAAAACCATCCACTGGGATCTTGTAGCCACATTTATGTCCATCAGTATAGAATTTTATTTCTTTGTATTAAACATACCCGAACAATCTACACTGTTAGGATAAAGTAAAGCTTTCTTCATCCTGAGTTTGGTAGTGATTATATAAGTTTTAAAGAGAAAACAGGAACAAATTTTAAAAGTATATTCTGAAGCTTCTAATGGAAAAATATAATATTAGCTATTCTGTATTTTACTGAAAACAGATCTGAGGTAGAGAAAAGCCTATGTGGTTTAAACCAAGAGCAGCCACCAAGGTGCAGTCTCCTATAAATGTCAATCCCCAATATTATACACATACACATGGAAAAAAATATGTGGAAGTTTAAATAAGAATTATTTCTCAAACTATCCCATAGCAAAAGGACTGTTATCTGGATTGCTAAAGTTAACAGAATCCTTCATTAGCAAAAAGGCACAGGAAGAAAATCTTGTTCTAGGTTAAAATGCCAGAATCCTAAGAAATTAAATTGTGTTGGAAAAAAAAATACAGTTAATACCTCGGTTTACAAACACCTCTCTTTGCAAACAATTCGGTTTGGAAATAAAAGTGTTTGGCAAAATTTTGCTTCCATTCACAAACTCCACATCAAGTGACAAACACAACCATGGCCATCTTCCCCACACACAAACACAAATGCAGCCACCTTCCCCAAAATCGTAAAACAAATGAAACTCATAAACCAAGGTCCCATCATATATTTAATGTTCTGAGCATTTGCTATTTCTCAGGAGTTCGTATGTTAAGATACATAGATTTCTCATAGTACTGCTGAAGTGAAAAGTATCTAATTCTCAAAAGTTCAGTCTCATTTCTAAAGAACTACTGCTGCTTCTCTCATGGCTTGGGTTTCTGTGGTATTTGATATAGCTGTGATGTTAGAAAAAGTAAAGATATTTTTGTAAGACCTCAGCCCTTCCACAGTAGGCAAAGTCTGTGTGCCACTGGTCAGCGGGATAGTGCCCCGGGGCCCACGTCACTGCATCTGTGTAGTTTAAAAAGCAGAAAGCAGCAGATACGGATAAATCTCTGAAACTCAGTATTTCTAAGCAGTTCCACCAAAGACAGGAGCCACCCTATCTTCCTAATACATCTTTAACATTCTTGCTAACTTCTGTTAATCCTACAGAGTACAGTTCTAGTTTGCCTCAGCTTTGTTTTTGCTTTAAGAAAATGACTCACTGTAACATGCATGTGTGTTTTCTTCCTCTCGTCCTCTGAAGTGTGATCCAGTTGCCTTCCTTCCTTTCACAAAGAACAATCGGTTCTCCAGCTGATTTCCCCCCCTGGCCCAAGTTCAAGCCCTGCCTCTTTTTCCATTTTGCTGGCTGTGTCCCTCCTTCCTGCCTCTCACTTGTCCTGGCTCTACCCGCTTTAGCGCCCTCTCGTGGTAACTGCTCTGTCCGCATGCTGCGGTGAGGTGAGAGCAGCGCTCTCATTCAAAAGTAAAGCACAGATGTAAGTGGATTTTAGAGAACTTTCAGTGCGCAAAGGCCTGCACTGGTGGAGGACTCTGGATCACTTGTGCATACTTCTGAATCTGAAGTCAGTGTTTCTCTTCCCAGGTCCCACTGGGACTACTGATCAGACATCAGACAAATGTCTTTATCACATGAAACATCATTCCCTTCCTCTGTAAAACATACAGGTTGGACCAATTTTTCCAAGTTTAGCACTGCTGCCCCATAACCATGAGTCAAATATCAGTCACTGAGAGAGCGCCTCTGGGGACAGTTGTGGAAGAGAGAGATAGGAAGATAAGGAACAAACAGCACTTCTGAGAATTTCTGAATCTGGTTCCAGCAATAGACTATATTGTAGCTACAAAACAATTGTCCGATTCCTACTGGTGTCAGAATTTTATTATTTTATTATTCCTTTATGTATTTCCTGTATATATTCTTATGCACCGGGGGTTCTTTTTTCTTCTCATCCCTCCAGGCTGAAGCCGTCCAGGAGGAGGAAGACACTACCGTGCATGAGGATGACCTTTCAAGTTCCATCAATGAGCTCCCAGCAGCTTTCGAATGCAGTGACAGCTTCAGTCTAGATATGACTGAGGCAGAGGAGAAAGGCAACCAAGGCCTGGACCAGTTTACCCTTGCAAGGTAAGCGAGCCCTTGGTGGAAAGGAGCGTACCTGGTGCGTGGTGCTGCGTCATGCTTGCTCACGTTAGGTGACACACTTACGCTATTGGGCTTCCTAACGAAGGAGCCCACGGTGGTATATAGCTCAGTGGGCTCCCACTGGATTAGAACATCCAACTCCAGATGGAGCCTCATGGGGAGCCACCAAAGGATGCCCATGTAAGAATTTATAAAGCCAAAAAGCAGCATGAAAAGCCAAAGAAGGGCCTGGGATGCGGTCCAGGCCTTATAACCTTTGAAGATAAGCAAGCTTGGCAAGGCTGGAAAATGAGTTCTTTCCACTTTGAGTTTAAAAGTATGAACAAGAAGCTCTTTATATACTAAATATCTCCTCTCCTTTAAATCAGTGTCTCTCGGCTGGGTGGCTGATACCTCTGAAACGAGTGAGATATACGAAGAAGAACAGATAAGAACACCACTGTTCAGATAAATTCAGCATGTAGGATAAGTCAGAAATAATGCAGATTTACTTCAGGAGAAGAAAGACAAGGCCCTAACATTACTCTTTTGAAAGTTGAAAATGAGGAAATAGGGCCTGGGGATTTAGCTCAG